TTCCCCTTGTGGCTCTACCTTAATTCGTTGAATCTTTATTTGGACCCCATTGTGCGGTTTTTCTGGAATTTGTGAGTTCACTGCAACTTGCTATCTCTGAACCCTGTCTTAGTAGAAATCTAGCATTGAGAGTGTTATCCCGTTGTTCATACACTCTTTTCTGTACTGGGGTCCCTTTTCATTAAGTTGGCTTGCACTCTTTGCAATATTTGGCTCTGTCCAAGCTTTACCTCTCTCTGGAGCGATTTCATATCTTGCTAGATATACAGTACTCAAACATTTCTACTCCCTTACCTGTGAAAACATGAGTCTTTACTGTTTTCTGGTTGGTAATATGCTCTACCCATGCCAATATATAATGTTTAACTTAAGTGCCCATTTGTTTCCCTCAGGTGGAATGTCTAGACGACCTTCACTGACAAGTCAGTTTCCTAATTTTGTGAAAGTTCCTGCTAAGTGATTTAATCATATCATCTGTACTCTTTGAGTATAGCAATTTCTTTCCCATTTATCATTGTATGTATTTGTAAGATTGTGGGGACATTCCTTTTCACATAGCTCCCCTTTCTGTGTCTCTCAGCGCTTTTCAATTTGTGTCAAAGTTGTGGAATTAGAAATTTGGGCACAGCACAAATTTGGTCATTCAGACCATCAAATTCCACTACCTATTTGCCGAACTCTAGTAAAGGTGGGAATTTTTCTCTTTCCATTTCTCCAATTCTGGGTGGATTCTCCTTTAAGGTAGTATTCTTTCCCTACTCCTTGCGTCTTGTTCATCAAATCAATCAGTTTCCTAAGTTCTAAGCATCTATCCATTGGTTAATTTTTAAATATGACCTCCGCTAGACTTTTTTCAGGCTGCAAGAACCTCTCTTTCAAAGACATTTTAGAATTCCTCTTATAAATGACTGAATGGCTGTCTGTATTGTAATCAGCATTGGATGCGTCTATATGTGCATACTATTTTCCTTTGTAGACTTAGTTATTGCTTCCAGATCTCCATGTCTGATGTTCCCCATTGTAATCACTGGGGGCCATGTACGTAAGTGTATCTCCTTCTTCCTTTAGAGAATTGTCCATGTTTTATAAGTCCTGTACTTCCCTGTAATGTCAGTAGACAGGATATTTTGTTACCTGGCTGTAGACTTCTCTTTGATAGGATAGAGTAAGTCTGAAGGCATATGTGAGATCTAATTATGGAAACATATTTCCCCTTTCTATTTTTTGCATTGATATCTACTTCTAGCTTTTATGAGGAGAATTTTGCTCCTTACAGAGTTATGTATTTAATACATGATTAGTCAGGCTGCAATGTAACAACCACAACCCTGGAGTTAGAAGGTCCCTTTCTTATCTTTTTGATCCCAAAAGCATTGTACGTTAAACTTTGATGCAATATATCCTCCACCTGCCTACCATTTTATATGGGACTTGCAGACCTCTTTAATCTTAATTTTTTTTTTGAAGGGATATAGGACTGTTACCCTTCTTTTTTATGGTTTAGAATGTATTCTTTCTCTCCATTTTCATGTGCTTTTGAGTGGGTTGACATATCCCAGTAAATTTCTTGAGAGACTTTTTTTTCCTCAGATACTTTCTCCACAGTATGAACCACCCTCTCTCTAAACATGAGGATTAAGGGTTTTTCTCTTATGCCTCTGACAGTTAACCCATTAGGGTAATATCTTCTTTATCCAACCTTCCTTTCCTTGAAGTTAAGGGTTAGGAGTGTTCCACCTAAGCCAGTGGCTGATTTCAGTGAGTATATTTTGGGCATACTTAGGAGCGATTTACTAAAACTGGAGCACTTAGAATCTGATGCAGCTGTGCATGATAGCCAATCAGCGTCTAACTTTACCTTGTTCAATTAAGCTTTGACGGTAAAACCTGGAAGCTAATTGGTTACTGTGCAGAACTGCACCAGATTTTGCACACTCCAGTTTTAGTAAATTTCTCCCTTTTTCCCTTTCTTTCCCTGCAGCCATGGTTTAGGAATACTAAGATTCAGCCTACCTCCTTATACTGTATATACTATTTTGTTGACCACCTTAGCTATTGGTCTATTTTTTGTTTCCACTGATCAGGCAGTTTATTGTTCCACTTATTTCTTTGTGGTTGATAATCGGTTGTCCACCACATTCTTAGTTGAGAGCCATCATTCTTTCAGGTAGTAGTTTCACTTTAGCAGTACTTAACTGCCTTGGTCTAGAACACCAGAGTTTTCTCAAGTGTGTCTTCTGGTTGTGGCAATATTCCAAATTTTCATTCACCCTTTTTTCTCTCAGCCTTTGTTTAGGCATCACTGACTAAAATGTCTAAAGATTACTACCTTCCTGTGTCCCTGCTGGAATACAATTTCTTGAATGGACTTGAAGAAAAAGATTTTGCAGTAAATAAAAAAAATTTACTTTTAATGCCAGCAATGTAAGTACATGACAGTGTCCTGCATTAGCCTTGCGTTTCACTGCACAGTAGAGCTCAGAGTGGGAGAGGGAGAAGCAGCAAGGAGTCATTCAGATGTGCTGCAGTGCTCATGGGCTAATTACCAACATGCTGAAGAAATGAGACAGCAGAGTAACAGAAAGATGAGGTCATCAGCGTGCTGCTTCTCTTTTCACTGTCTACTCACAGGCCTGAGCAAGGATAAGACCGGTTACCTAAAAGTAGAACTATGGCCTTCCCGTTAATAAACATGCCCTACAGCACTTAGAAATGCACTATATTGCCAAAAGTATTGGGACACCCCTCCAAATCATTGGATTCAGGTGTTCCGATATATGGCCACAAGGTGTATAAAATCAATCACCTAGGTATGAAGACTGCTTCAACAAACATTTGTGAAAGAATGGGTCACTCTCAGGAGCTCAGTGAATTCAAGCGTGGTACTGTAAAGTCCATCCGTGAAATTTCCTTGCTACTAAATATTCCACGGTAACTGTTAGTGGTATTATAATGGAAACAACTGGGAACAACAGCAACTTAGCTACCAAGTGGTAGGCCACGTAAGATGACAGAGTGGGGTCAATGCATGCTGAAGTGCACGGTGCGCAGAAGTCACCAACCATCTGCAGAGTCAATAGCTAAAGACCTCCAAACTTCATGTGGCCTTCAGATTAGCACAACAATAGTGCGTTGAGAGCTTCCTGCGATGGGTTTTCATTTTCCACTGCATGCAAACCTTACATCACCAAGTGTAGTACAGAGCATCGTATGTAGTGGTGTTTGGTGGGGGGGATTATGGTGTTGGATTGTTTTTCAGGGGTTGGACTTGGCCCCTTAGTTCCAGTGAAGGAAACTCTTAAGCATCAGCATACCAAGACATTTTGGACAGTTTCATGCTCTAAGCTTTGTGAGAACAGTTTGGGGATGGCCATTCCTGTTCCAACATGACTGCGCACCAATGAACAAAGCAAGGTCCATAAAGACATGGATGAGCGAGTTTGGGGTGGAGGAACTTTACTGACCTGCACACAGTCCTGGCCTCAACCCGTTAGAACACCTTTAGGATGAATTGGAGCAGAGATTGCTAGCCAGACCTTCTTATCTGACATCAGTGCCTGACCTCACAAATGCGCTTCTGGAAGAATGGTCAAACATTCCCATAGACACACTCCTAAACCTTGTGGACAGCTTTCCCAGAAGAGTTGAAGCTGTTATAGCTGCAAAGGGTGGTACAACTCAATATTGAACTCTATGGACTAAGACTGGGATGCCATTAACGTTCATGTGCGTGTAAAGGCAGGCATCCCAATACTTTTGGCAATATAGTGTTAAGTTTATAGTCCCCCTGCAAAGTCCCACAAATACCTACGGATCCTGCCAATGAAATCCACCCAATGCAGGTTCCTGTGATAGTGTGGCAATGATGCTACACTGAATTCTGAGCAGAGTTGTACCCTCATGTAAGCTGTGCCTGCTTGCACTGCAGTGGGGTGAGAAAATGTTGCAGGCGGATGTGGCTATCAGCATTGTCCTTGTAGCCTGACAATGTGCCTGTAGCTTGTCGATTATCATTTGGCCACAGCTAGCCTTGCCTACTGCTTTCTGTATTGACAGCACTGCCTCTTTTTACTGAAACCCATAAAATTTGAGCTCCAGTGTCCAGAAGATGGAATATGTAAGACACAAAGTAGGATTTAGCTCAGTCAGCAGAAGTGAAGTAAATTTTTTTTGTTTAAATTGGTTGTACATATACCCACTAAAGTGACTAGCTTCAGATGATACACAAAGATGAAACAAATCCCCCTACACAAGTTGTATCTGTTTATCAGAAGACCTCTCCTTTACAGCCATTCAAAGCATATAATTTAGACAACATTTCTCAGGTCTAGAAGGCAGGGGGCAGGGATGTGATGTCATACAGTGCACAACATAGAGCAGGGAGTTGAGTGTAATCTGAAACCTGAGCGGAGGGAAAGTACACTCCCCCACACACACACGGTTTTATAAAGAAACATGCTAAGCTGAGGCTGTCAATCACCTGCTATATGCTGGAGGGGGGCTGGGGCCATCTCCAGGGATTGTCAGAAGTGACTCATGTAGATAGCAGAGGAATAAGAGAGCAGACAGAAATTACACTAGGTGCTTTAGAAAGAGGCAAGTACACACGATAGATAGATATGCTTTGTTTATTTTTAAATTCAGAGGTTTACAGCCACTTTAACTCATGAGGCTTGTGCATAACAAATTAACTGGATTAGGACTTTTTAGACTGCTACACAGAAGCCTTTATATTTACTTAAACTAAGGTCACCTACCTTCCCAGGCAAACCTGTACTATGTGGCAAAGTTGTGTAAATCTCAGACGTGAATGGATTGCACTATATTTCCTTTGGCAGGTAAAATTCTTATATGCATTTCATATGTGTATTTAGCTGTTTGGAGCTCAGCTTTAAATTTGAGAAGAAAGAAAATAACACCCTGCTCTAGTACAGAAATGCATTGCAGGTTTTATATGACAAAAATTAAAAACTCTGATGTAATGACTCTGTTTTCTTTAGCTGACTCTACAGGAACACATTCCCTGTACACCACGTATAAGGATTATGAACTCATGTTTCATGTCTCTACAATGCTACCATATATGCCAAAAAACAGACAACAGGTATGGTTTTTACCATCTTTGTAATTGTGATGTATTGATGTGACCTTCAAGCAATCTAAAAAAATGTTTGGCTTTGTTCAGTAAGAAAACCTATATCAATACAGTTTACATGATATATATATATATATATATATATATATATATATATATATATATATATATGTGTAAATCGTGTTCAAACTTAAATGGAGTTCCGCTCACTCTGTAAAAAAAAAAGTCAGCAAAAAAAAAACAAAAACTGTAGCTGCTGACTTTTAAAAAATAGCCACTCACCTGTCCCACAATCCCACGGTGCCCCTGCCGCAGCCCGTTTCACCGACCGTCCTGTATTCCAGGCGCCGACATCTTCAGTGTGGGCAACAGGCTGTGACAGCTTGCGGCTTCACAGCCGGGTGCCCACTGTGCATGCTCGAGTAGCGCTGCATTTCCTGAATGGCCCTATCGTCTTCTGGGACCTGTCATGTGTCCCACAAGACTACGGGGAGGGAGGGTAGGAGGACAACTTCCACTTCCGAACACCTAGGCGATCGCAGTGGAAGTGGGAGCGGGTACCTGTCAATTTCGGGTACCTGCTCCCAAAGGTGCCAATCCTTAATGGGGAGCGGGAGACCAATCATTAAAGCGGAACTTCCCCTTTTGGGTGGAACTCCGCTTTAAGAACTAAAAAAAAGCAATTGCAAATGATTCAAGGCAAATAGTGAATTATCAAGTTCATTCTATATTGAAAACTGCCATAAAACAATCACACTCTTCTTACTTTATATTTATTGATATCCACTGGTTTCACATTCCAGAACCTGGTACAAAAAAATGTTGCCAGTGCTTAAAGGGTTAGTTAACCTTTACTAAAAAAAGATGAATAACACCCTTGCTGAGCTCAGAGCTACTACATTGGGGGGAAGAGAAAGTGCACTTGAAGGGGTTTAAATCCGAGAAAGACTCCTGTAATGGTGAAGGTGAGCAGTAACACTAGGTTTCTTTTAGAAATGTCCTTAGCATTGTCCTAGAAGTTTTCCAGTTAGGCTTCATGAGGTATGTAAATGGCCTACATCTATTGCAAGGGTATTATTCAACTTTGGCCAAAGCTGCACAGCTTGTTTTATTTACAGATGCCTCTTATCTGCATAAACTTTTTTTTAGTTAAGGTGAACTATGCCTTTTAAGTTAATTAATAAAATAGTGAGCTATTGCTAATAATATAACGTTCTTTTTCAAACAATATGAATGTCATTATGTTCAAAACTATAAGTAATTAGCAGAGTTACAGGGATCCCATATCCATATTTGGTGGGCTTGTCTCAAGATTAGGCCATTTTGGGCCTATATCAGGAATTTAATATCTGAAATTACTATGGTCTTGATTCAGGATGATTCTGTACAGTGTCTTTTGCATGGCACCCTAAACTCCATCAGGGCATACAAGAGGAGTACAGTTCCCAATTTGTTAGATGCCGCTAAGGGGCTAATTCTGTTTTTTTTGGAAAAAGTCACAGATGCCTACTCTAGAACACTGGGTGAAACAAGTTAATGAAATTATGGAAGCTGAGAAATGGGTGCATATCTAAATGCAGTAGACTAGAAGAGTCATGTGAAGTGGGAACCCTGGATCTATTATATAAATAGTACAGGGAATAAGAGCTAAATACTTACGTATCCTGTGATGGGGGGGAGGGGGGTAGCTTCTGCTTATTGCAAATTTCACAAATTCTAATTCCAGCGTGCTAGAGATTTATGGACCATCCCACCTTTCCTCTTATATCTTTCCTTTTTTTTTTTACCTTTTAGGATTTATTTGACCACTTGCCGACTGCAGATAGCCGAATGACGGCTACACTGCGGCCGGCCAGTTCTGGGAGGGCGTCATTTGACGTCCTCCCCGGGAACTCGCTCTCCTGCGCGCCCCCGGCGATCTCCGTGATCGCTGTGTCCTACGGGCACAGCTGATCACGTGATGTGGTAAAAGGCCAATCACAGTGGCCTTTTACCACGTGATCAGCTGTGTCCCCTGTGGTAGCAATAGGCAGTGACAGGAATTCTATTTTGAGAAATTTGGGGTCTATTAGACTCTACATCTCTCTTCTGCCCTTAAAGCATCTTATCACACCAATATTGGTGTGATTTGATGCTTTCCCAATTTTAAAATGGTGCTGTTTATATCTGGCAAAACGGAAATGATGAAATGCTTGCTGCTCTAAGCTTTCGGTCTCTTAGACCATAGAGAGGATTGGAGGAATTCCAGTCTCTGATCAGCTCTATGATCAGCCAATGAAACTGCCATCTGCATTCTCGGGGTTCCCCGGTGTGATGGGAGAGCCCAAGAAAACTGTGGAAGGCAGTGGGGGGGGAGGATGTTCCGCCTAACAGTGCCAGTCAGTGCTGCCTAACAGTGCCAGTCAGCGCCAGTCAGTGCCGCCTATTAGTGCCACCTATCAGTGCCATATATGAGTGCTGCCTTTCAGTGTCCATCAGTGATGCCTGGCAATGCCCATCAGTGCCACCTACCAGTGCTGCCTATCAATGCCCATCAGTGCAGCCTATCAGTGCCCATCACTGCAGCCTCATTAGCGCACATCAGTGAAGGAGAAAAATCACTTATTTACAAAATTTTATAAACGAAACTAAGAAAAACGTTTTTTTTTTTTTTTTTAAATTTGCAGTGGTTTTTGGTTTAGCAAAAAAAAAACAAACAAACCCAGAGGTGATTAAATACTACCGAAAGAAAGCTCTATCTGTCTCAAAAAATGATAAAAATTTCATATGGGTACAGTGTTGCATGACCACGCAATTGTCATTCAAAGTGCGACAGTGCAAAAAGCTGTAAAATGGCCTGGGCAGGAAGGGGGTATAAGTGCCCTGTAGGCTAGTGGTTAAAGAGCTATGCTGGTGGTAAAACCTCTGCATCTAACATGCTCATGAATGTCTGACCCCTGGTCCCCTGCTGCACACTGTGGTGCCATCTGCTGGCCCTTATGTTGCTACTGTGTGCTGTAGAACCACAAGGCACAAAAGAGGACCAGGCATCCAACACCCCCCAGAAGCACCAGATGCTAAATAATAATTAGCTGCTGTAACTCTGCAACAGAGCAAAAATCAGCCACCTGGGCAGCAGGACAAATATGCTTTAGCCATTTTCTTCACAGACATTGTATTGTTAAAAATGTTTTGTCTATTGACAGAGTCACTTTAAACCCTATTTACTGCTTGTTAAGAGTATGTAAATACTTGATTTTCCACAGCCTAGCTACAGGTTCCATTTGATGTGAGTGTGAAAAGACAGGTATATGGAAACTGTCATTTCTGATTTTGTTTTTATAGTTACAAGCTCCAGGGCTTTCAGTCTCATCTGGCTTCACTAACTAGTGAGTCACCTAACTGAAAAAAAGCATGCATCCCTTCTGACTGCACATAAAGATGTTCACTACTGTAAAGCTCATCATAATTGTTACAATCTGAATGTACAATATTCTTTAAGTTTATTAAACTATGTAATATGAGGACCTACCTAAACTTTCCTTTCAATTTTGTAATGAACTGGGCAGTACTACATAGTTGGCAGATCTAAAGCAGATTTTTGAGCTAAAAAGTTGTCAACATTTGTAACAGCCTTTAATAGCGGTTGGATCTAGCTGATAGATTATGTCTAACAACGATTGGAAGTATTCTAAATAAATCATAAAGGGTTACCTGCATGTTACACATGAATATATCAGAAATTTGGTCTGTGTGTCATTTTCAAATTGCTAATAAGGGGTCTGGATGGATTTTGTTTCCCCTGTTGATGCAAATTGGACTAAAATCTGTTTCATTTTTGCATCTTATAAATTGGTTAGTCTCTCTGAGGATACACAGTTTTCTGTTTTGGGATAGGGGCAGGGTGGCTGCTATGCATACTGTATATTTGGTAACCGTATACTACTTATAGGGCCACCTTCTCCTATATTTGTGTAATTGGGCTCCATTCACAAAGAGGTGTCGACCACTTTAAGAAATACTGAAACCATGCTGTATTTTATCTCATGTGATATCCAGTGGGATGGATACAGTGGAAAAGAATTAGAACCCCTGTCAATTTTTATTTGAATAGAGAGTTAAAATGGTTCAAAATGTGCCAGCTCTTTATTTTTTTCATTTTGAATAGAGAAAGGTAGGGCTATAACCCCTGGCAGTTTTTAAAACATTTTTTTGCCATCTGTGTATGTTGTGGTTAGTATTTTGAATTGCAGTATTTGGATGCACTGGTGATTTAGGGGTTAGTGGATGGGAATCGTTGAATGCAGCAGGGAGAAGGAGATCAATGTTCCTAGCAGTGTCAGTTACTGTAGGAGATTTTAGTTGGAGATTTATCATTATAAGAGTGACATTCAGCTGTGCAGGTAGTGGATTAGCTAAGTCTTACCTTCTTCATAGAGACAATCCACTTCAATCCACATTTAATTTTTAGAGACAGAGTTGGTTTAAAACAAAATATGTTTATATACTGCATTATTGAAATCCGTTTAAACATTTGTATTGTAATACATTTTATCATCTCTAGGCCATATTTCTGATATGCAAACATGTAGACTACATGCTCAATTTATGAATAATTTAAGACCCAAATATGCAGACATATAGACTACATGCTCAATTTATGAATAAATTAAGACATCAATAATGTAAAGGAATATTTTCCTGGTTTTACTTTCTCTGTCTTACTCTTGTTTCAAGATCACAGCTTTACAATTGACTGTTTTTTGTAAGTTTTCTCTGTCTACCTGGGCCTTACTGTATAGCTTTAACACAGCAGTTGTACGTTTTTCTGGGTCATCCCAGTAGCATTGTTTACTTTCCTGTTGATCTTGCCAATAGATACATGATTTTCAGCTATCCACATTTTTTGTGGATTTCATCTTTCCTGTTGATGGCCTGCTTTCTTCTTCTGCTTCTCAATTCCATCTTCCAATAATTTCTTTTGGACTCTGCCAGTCCATTAATTCAACCAAAATCTTATTTTCTGTGTAGTGCTACACCCAAAGGAGCTGCTGAGAATTTAACGTGTTCTCCCTATGTAGTACAGTGACTGCCAGTCGAAATTAAACATTCTAGGCAATGTCTTTTTAAGATTTGTTGCTGAAGTAATTTAACAGTAGAGGGTGAGTGGATATGGGATACTACAAAATGCTTGAGAACAATTGGCAGGGGACACTCTTCTCTTGATAAAGATAGCACAGTCTAGCTCTCACAGCTGGGAACCATAGTTTACAGAACAGCCTATTTTCCCATAGCTGGGGACCATGAGGTAGCTCCAATTTAGTTAAAGCCTCATAGCTGGGGACCATAACGTAGCTCCAGAATAGTTACAGTTTCATAGCTAGGGACCATGAGATAGCTACAGAATAATTAAACTCTCATAGTTGGGGAGTCATGCAGGTTCTCTAAGTCCTAAAGCAGCCAGTAAATCAGACTCCATCCATTTATAGTGAGGTCCAGCATTCAGTCCAGAGGTGCTTCAGGGGCAAGCAGCTCCTTGAAGCTCACAGACCCATCCCTTACAGGGAAAATACAATCTCCTTAAGGCTTTAGACCATTTACCACTTCCTAGAGCACCTTCTGGGCACATCTCCCTAGGGATTGGTCAGGACATAGTAAATATTCAGGCCAGTCATTTGAATTTCGCACCTTAAGCCCTGGAAGTTTCTCCCAGAGGCAGGGGGATACAATCAAATTCCCAGTCTGTGATCAGACCAAGGCAAATGATCACTGCTCCTTTGATTGTAGAAAAAAAAAAAAACTTTATTTACCTAGCTTTCTATAGTAGGAGGTTGCTACATCTCAAATATGTGCTCTTCCTTTAAAACACCTTTTCTTATTTTTTCTAACCCTAACCTTATTACCTAGCAAGTATTATGTAGTACCATATTTTTGCTTACACTTCTTTATAAAATGTTCTGTGTACTACACTTACAAATTGAGTGACATGTATTGTTTCTCAGAATCTCTTTAATCTCTTTTCCCACAATAGCAAAGCTTTTGCAACATTAGAAACATGCTACTTGTAAATGTTTGAATCAATTATTGCTCCTAATTTTAAAAAGAACCTGTCTCTATTACACTTACTGCCTCTCTAACAGCTTATGCTAAACATCTATTTAAAGTTTTTACTTTTAGCCTGGGTTCACACTGATGCGGTACGGAATTCACAGCGGTACGGAATTCACAGCGTTTTCTGTGCGAATTCCACACCGCATCAGAATTGCACCCCGTTCATGCAAACAGCTGCAGGCGTGTATGTTAACAACACCCCGAAATCAGTCCACAAAACGCAGTGCGATGTGCAGAATCAAATCGCATAGGTGTGAATACCCATGCAATCCGATTCTAGTTTGGACCCAAAAAAGGGTCCTGCACCTTTTTGGTGCGGATGTGGTGCGATTTGAGCCATACATACATAATGTATGGCTCAAATCGCACCGCACACAATTCGCATGTGATTTGCCCTGGAATACGGTGAGGTTCCTGTACGAATCACATGTGATGTACTGCACCGCATGAGTGTGAACCTAGCCTTGTGGCCTTCAGGTCTGTGGACCCTACTTTTGCTGCAAAACCCCTTGCTTGCTACTTTAAATAGAACTATGTCCTCCCATTAAAAAAATGTGCTGCAGCACTTAATTATGTGCATATCAGCACCTATGGTTTTCTCCATACGTCCCACAAATATCAGTTAAACCCTGGGTGTTTGGGTGACGTACCCACTCCAGTATTAGAATGCAAGTGTACAATCCTAACGCACACCTTCCTGCGTTAAAAATGGCTGTGTGTATAAGTGGGTGCTGCAACGACTGTCAGCTGGAACTGAACAGAATCAGGGTGAATGTCACCAGCACACAGAGGATCACCAATATGGGTCCAATGTTTTAAAGAATGATCACATAGTTTCAACAAGGCAACATTTCGGAGTCTCGCAGGACCCCTTCATCAGGCATGTGACCAAATGCCTGATGAAGGGGTCCTGCGAGACTCCGAAATGTTGCCTTCCTGTAACTATGTGATCATTCCTTAAAACTTTTGGACTCATATTGGTGATCCTTGGTGTGCTGGCGACATTCTCCCTCACTCCAGTATTAGGGCACACTGGGAGTCCCTCCAACAGGCTGGTCCAATCCTGGACCTACAACATCAGACCATACTCAGCCTAGCAGTATTTTCTTTTTATTCTTGCATTTTTTTGACATACATATTTGAACCTTCTACAAACCTTTGTAGGATACATTTAATTGACCCAGGAGAAGCCTAGGGCATATTTATTCTCTTATAGTTGCTCAGATCATCAAATATTTTTTCAGTCTCTACAGATTTTTTTTTATAAGAGTATAGTTTACTACTCTATATACTCTGATTCACTTTTTTTACTGGAGAGAAATCCCAGACGTTATCAATATATAAATACTTAATTACATCTTATTTTCCTGTTTACACACTGACTGCCAGTTTGACTGTAAAAGTGGTTCCCAGATTTATTTGCTGCTTCTCGAGATTTTTTTGAAGCGGTTTTAGCTCTTTAGCTACAAAAGTTGCAGGAAATTTTCTTTTATGGGAAGCTTGGAAGATCAGGGCTTGGAAGATCTCTATATCTCTTTTTCAAACTAAACACAACAAACAGTTACTTCTATGACACATTTTTTTTTTTGTTATAACTGTAGATATTCAGGGATTGTGAACAATATATTATCTGTCACAAGAAAATATAGTCCCTTTAGTTGTCTATTTTTGTGAAACATGCATATTAATTTTCTTTTTTTAAAAACACTTCAAATACAAAAAAGCCAGTTGACCCTGACAGAAATCCGGTGTGCTTCTAACTTCCAGTAGTTTGTTGACAACATTGCCTCTGCTGCATTGAAATCCCTGGCTCTTATAAGCCCCTCCCAGTTCTCATATGTACGACCACAGAACAATTCTCTTATGTCCAATGGAAGAGAACTTGGTTGTGATAATAATACTACTAATTCAGTGTAGCTGAGGCACCAGGTCAGGTTAAGCAAGTTAGGAGCTCATTGCATTTTTGGCAGATTAAGAGGTATCTTTGTGTACATGCAGTATTTTTAAGGGATTAAACAAGAGAAATTGTACTTGTGATTTTTTATTTTTCCCAGACATACACTTAGTTTTTAAAACATTGTATAGAAAATGATCTTGTTTTGCTTTCAGTTTCTAGTATTCCAAGAAAGAAAATAAAGTATCATAAAGAGGAAAGCTGTCATAAGAAACCATAGGGACTGCCATTATTAACTTTTCCTTCTAAAAATACTAGTTGGTCAGTTATACGTTTTCAATACTGACCCAGAAAATTTTTTATTACTTTTCGCCTACATTTCTGATCTGTATACTTCTAGAACAGTGATTTGGAAAGCAGGGGAGTAAGCTTAACCTCTTCCTGTCCAGCCCATGTCGATAAACGGCTGGACAGGAGTGCTGCCGATGTGGGTGGACGTTTCTAAACGTCCCCCCGCATTCATTGCCTGTGCGCGCTCCCTGGGAGCGCGCGGCACCACGATCAGTGCCCGCTATGTCCGGAGGACACAGCGTAACACAGATCGCTGTATGGGACCTCTGTGTGAGGTCCCGATTCATGTGATCAGTGATTGGCCAATCAGTGATCACATGCAGAGTAGTAAGCAAGATGTCACTTCCTGACATCATTGTTTACTACATGTGAAATCTGTGAATGATCACAGAGGTCACATGGTACAAGGCTATTCACAACAGCCTTGTACCATGAGACAAGCTGTGACCAATCACAGCTCGCACAGTATTTCTCAATGGCTGCAGAAGGAGAAATGATTGCTTTTAGAGCCTTTATGGGTGTAAAAGCAATCAGTGTAAAAAAAGAAAAAAAATCTTCATCATCCCCCACAAGTAGTGCAGTGTCACTATGGTGACAGTGTGCTGCTAGGGTGACAATATGTAAAAAAAACAAAAAAAATAATAATATAAAAAAAAAAAAAAAAATGTAAAAAAAATTTTTTTTCAATTATTTTTGGTTATAAACTAAACTATTTGGGTTTTTATTTACTAAAAAAATACATTTTGCCCAAGATTTATGAAGAAAGATTATTTGCAACATTTTATAAGAAAAATACTTTTTTGCAAACTTTTTGGACTTTTTCATTTATATAGCAAAAAAATAAAAATCCCAGTGGTGAATAAATACCACCAAAAGAAAGTTTTATGTGTCTCAAAAAAATGCTGAAAAACTCCTATGGGTACAGTGTTGCATGACCGCGCAATTGTCATTCAAATGTGTGATAGCACGGAAAGCCAAAAATTGGCCTGCACTGGAAGGGGGTGAAAGTATCCGACTTGAAGTGGTTAACAGCCTTGCAACTAAAATTTTTAAATGGCATCCTCCGTATTTCCATCCCGACAGATCTATGTGTATATTAATGAGTTACCTATGTGAACTGTCCATCGAGGAAGATTTAGGATAGGGCTACACTGCTGATCTCAGTTGCGCTACTAAATTCTCATGTGGCTGATCGCTTTGTCTGTTTAATGATACTAATCTGATGACAATTGCCCAAAATTCTCCTGGAGTAGCAAAAAAAGAGGGATTTTTGTACCAGAATGTTTTTTCCAGTCTGTGAGTGCATTTCACGTGAACAAAAGTATAAAATGTTTTGGAAACACTTAAAATTATATATTCAGATATTTGTAATTAAGTGCATATATCATCAGAAAGCTACATTATGTTAACTGTGTTTTTTTTTTTTTTTCAGCTGCTTAGAAAAAGGCACATTGGTAATGACATTGTTACTGTCGTCTTCCAAGAGCCAGGGGCCCTGCCATTTACTCCAAAAACAATTCGATCCCATTTCCAGCATGTGTTTGTTATTGTAAAAGTTCATAATCCATGTACACAAAATGTGTGTTACAGGTAAGAAACCTACACATAGATGACTATAGTTTCTTGTGAAATATATAGAATTTTTGCTATAATCAACTGCACCGTATGCCTTTATAACTTAAGGTTTATGTAAGCCTTAACAATGAAATTTGCTTCCTTCTGGTTTGTTAAAAATACTATTGAAAGTGTCTGTTTCATAAGTGGAAAAAGAACTTGTTGATCCTTCCAGAAATCCAATGTGCTTGTAACTTCCTGTGCATTCCGCCTCTGTTGCCTTGAAGTCTCAAGCAAAGTTGGCAGCCATGCCCAGTTCACCTCTATGGACTACAGACCCCCCCAAAGGTTATGAAGTTGAGGAGACGTTCATTAGTCCTAAAACATTCTTGTTCTAGGATGATAACTCTGCTTCTAGATCGAGTACAGTGAGTGAGCATTATCACTCTAGGAAAGGAAGTGCATAACTAGCAGGATCTCCAAGTGAACATAAAGAAAAAGAACTGAAAAAAATGAAAAATGAAAACTGAAACTGATACAGCCACCACATTTATATAACTGGTAAGCTGCAATATGTTACATTACTGTTCTTGATTTTAGATACACTTTAAGCATATGTGAAGCACTTAGGGTGGACAGTGGCTAAGTGGTTAGCACTTCTGCCTGGCAGTTCAAATCCCAGCCACAGCACTACCTGCCTGGTGTTCGCATGCTCCCCTGTTAGGTTAATTGGCCCTTGTATGCATATGTATGGATGTGAGCTAGGAACCTTAAGTTGTAAGCTCCTTAAGGGCAGGGACTAATGTGAATATATAATATACATGTAAATGCTGCCTAAGCTGTCAGTGCTATATAAATACCTGTAATAAATAAAATGACAGTAAAACACAAAAATTCCAAAAGCAAACCTCATTTAGAAAGTTTTTGATAACCTACTTTCACTATCAATTGTTTACAGTCATGCCATTGTCCATTGTTGTTGGGACATTAAAATGTGGATATATATAATGTACAAATTCACTAAAAAATTAAAAAGTAACTGCAGTATGGCACATTGCTGTGCCATTCCTTTTTAAAAGGCAACTTGCAAGTGCATCTTAAAGTACTTACCATTTCTGAGGCTACAACACAGAGATGTGAATCATTATTGCATTGTAGTGTGGTGTGCTGGAATAAAGGGGTGCAGGTAATTTTTGTGCATATTTTAACGCAAAAATATGTTATAGTATGATCGTGTTAAAAGGTGGAAGTAGGTTTTTAGAGTAATTTGCTAGGGAAAAAGAACCCCAAACCACTACCAACCTCCTTTTCACTTAGGTAGATCCCCTCTGGAGCCTATATTTACATTAATCTCTACTTCCACCCACTACTCAGTTCCCTGCCACTGTCCCTGCAAAGTCATTAACTGTCAAACATCCCAAACAGTCCAAAACAGTCTAAAAGAATACAGCATGCAAGTGAGTGCAACATATCTAGCACCCTCCTAGGTAGCTAGGGGGAGCTAGACTTCAATGGTTAGATAGGGGTGAGCAGCAGCCCAAGTGTAAAAGCTAGAGTGGGGTCAAATTGTGATCAGGAGCTGAGAGGCTCTGCAGGCCAGCCCCTCTGAAATTTCCCCCTGCTCTAGGGCTTTGGAGGAAGGCTCTAGAAGAAGTTGGTGGATCTGAGGAATTGCTGGCTGCACTCTTGAGGGACTTCAGCCAATCCCCAACAGAAGGCTTGGCAAAGTGCTGGGACACCCTTAACCTCCCTGGCGGTATTCCTGAGTGTAGCTCTGGGTAAAGTTTCAGTACCACAAACGGTAACCCCGAGCTACACTCGGGAATACCATGCGGCGCAGCTCCGCGATCACTTACCTTGTCCTGCGCTCCCGCGATGTCCCTCCTGCAGTGTCCCCGGCAATGTAATCCGGCGGATGCCGGCATCTGTCATCTGGGTTCCGTCCCCTGCAAGCGTCGGGACGTACGGGGGACAGAACAGCGGAAAATTTGAAAATGACAAAAAGTGACATTCACTAAAATCACATAGTAAAACATTACTGTATCAAACCATTTCACATACATTTTGTCCCAAGTGCTTTGTCCTGTGCCCTGCCTGCATTTTTACTGTTCTTACTGCCTGGAAACTGAGAAACATCCATGGTGTCCAAAAAGCGTCCCTTTAGGTCAAAAGCGGTTTTAGACCAGCTAGAGAACAGCGATAGTAAATCAGAATCACTTGCAGAATTGAGTGATAATGATTCGTGGGGAAATTCATCATCAGACACTGAAAACAATTTTGCAACTTTGTTCAGTGATGTGGGAACTTGGCACTATATTTCAAAGTTTTTTTTTTTGGTTTGATTATATTATTGAATTAAATTTATTATTATATTATTATTTTTTATGATTATTTATTAAATTTTAATTTATGATTTTGTGTTTCAAGTTTTATCCTACCCAGGATGTTTACTAGACTCTTGTTCGGACAGATTTCAGTGAGTTATTCCTAAGAATTACAGGCCTACAATATAAAACGCCAAATTTCCATGCAAAATAATGGTACCGCTTTCAGCACCAAAAATCAGAAATAGTCATACCGTCTGGGAGGTTAAAAGTGTTGGAGTCTGTTAAGTTGCATGGAGAGTTCAGGTGGAAGAGAGGAAGATGTGAGTTTGAAGGAAGGAGGCTGCGAGGGGGCCCAATGGGAAGGGGCCTATGCTCACCATCCCCCTGAGAGAGGACCAGCTGTATGTGAGGGGAGGAGTGGCCCAGCTGATAGGCCTGGTAGCAGCCACCAACCCACAAGTGGTACTGGAAAAGATCTCAATGAGTTCACCTACACCCCCTGGTTGGATAGGGGAAGGAGCACTCTGGTGGAAAACCAGATTAGCCACCTGCCAGTGATTGTTCATCTCTTAAAGTGACAGGAACTGGATCCCCTGTTCAGGGATACCTCCAGAATGCTAAGTAAAGAGGAGAAGTTCATCTAGGGTCTGTGGTGGTACATTAAGGAGATGCTGGCTAGCTCTCCACCAGAGACTGTGCTGCAGAGAAGGCTTGTAAATAGTTCCATTATGTTGTCCTCAGTTCATCAGTACCTTTGGGCATCCTGTACACCCCTAACCCTATCCCAGTTCAAAATCTCCTAAATACAACTACAAAACCAAAGCTTAAGGACTGATTTCTGACTCTGGATGCAAACTTCTGTGGAAATGCATGATACCTGGATGTGCAGGAATATAGGGGGACCCAAATCTTTTAGTGACTCCTAAGGGGGTAGTGCTACACATGCTTGAGTGAAGCGGGCTAAAGGTAGGAGCTCCATCAGAGCTGGTCATTCATAGTTGCTGGAAGTGAAGAAACCTTACTCCGGGATATTTCAGCTTGCACTCTCCATTCTTTTGTACTATATACATTGCATAGTTGCCAAAATTTCAAAACATTTTTTAGGGATACTTTTTTTTATTGTATGTCCAGAAAGCCAGTGTAGGTGGAGTGTTATGTAAATTAGGGGTGGGCTCATAAATTGTGGGTGTGGCTTGGGGATACAATAATGGCCGCACAAAAAGTGGGTGTGGCTTAAAGTGCGCTAGATGTTGGGCGTGGCTTAAAGGGGGTGTGGTTAAACAGAGTCTGAGATTTTCTTGGGCTCCCCCATACAAATTTTCTCTTCACCCCAACAGCCCAAAAAGTAAATAAACACATAGACTTCTCTTACAAAAAAAAACTTTAATAATTTAAACATAAAGAAGTGGTCCACACTCAGTGATTGGTTGTTAGAGGTTACAGCACATTATCTCTCACTGATTGGTTGCCAGAGGTTACTACCGTTAATACAGGGGAGGGTCATAGATTACAGTAGTACAGGAGATGGTCAGACTGCAGACATTACACAAGGGATGGTCAGAGTACAGTATGCTCCACCATAAATATCACACAGCATGCTCCACCATAAATATCACAGTATGCTCCACCATAAATATCATAGAATGCTCCACCATAAATATCACAGTATGTTCCACCATAAATATCACAGCATGCTCCACCATAAATATCACAGTATTCTCCACCATAAATATCACAGCATGCTCCACCATAAATATCACAGTATGTTCCACCATAAATATCACAGTATGTTCCACCATAAATATCACAGTATGCTTCCATAAATAAATATCATAGTATGCTCCACCATAAATATCACAGCATGCTCCACCATAAATATCACAGCATGCTCCACCATAAATATCACAATATGCTCCACCATAAATAAATATGCTCCACCATAAATAATATGCTCCACCATAAATATCACAGTATGTTCAACCATAAATATCAAAATATGCTCCACCATACCCCCCCCCCCACACACACACTGCACCCCCCCCCCCCCCGCACATATAATCTGCACCCCCCCACACATTTACACCCCACACACACACACTCTGCACCCCCCCCACACACACACACACACTCTGCACACTCCCCCACCACACACACACACACACTCTGCACCCCCCCACACACACACAAACACACACAAACTCCCTCTCTCTCACAACTCACCTCTGCTACATTATAGAGCGGCATCTGGCCGGTTCACAGCCGATCTGACAGTGTGTCCATCATTGGTGGTCCTGGTGTGTGTCCTGGGCTTGGTCCTCTCTGCAGCAGCTTTCTCTGCCTTGCACGTGAGGAGGAGGAGGCTAAGGCGAGCTGGCGCAATCACCCCTGGGCTGGCCACACCCACTCACAGTAACAACCAATCAACATGGGAGAAACAGCCACATGACTTCTTGTCTCTCACTGATTGGCAGTCCCAGGTAGGGGGAGAGGACAGAGAGGGAGGGCAGAGGATTACAGGGAGGGGGGAAGAATATAGTTAACACATTGCAGTACTAGATGCCCCGATTGCCATGGCCGGTGGTCCATGACAAAATAAAACCTAAATCATTTTCCGTAATTCAGCCCGGGACAAAGACTGTCCATGACAAATGTCAAAAATCCATGAGCGTCTCGGGCAATCCGTGACTGTTGGCAACTTTGACATTGCAAAAGGGCTTCAGCAAGCCAAGGGCTGACCTGCACATGTGGTAGGAGTTATCAGGGAAGAGGGACCTAGAGTAGATCTGTGGGACTCTGTAGATTGCAACCAGGTAAAGGCAGGAGGAGAGTCCTTTTCTCATCTATACCTAGAAGTGATGAAACAAAGTATGATTATTAAAATTTTTAATAAAAGCAAGTGGATTTTGTCCATTTTACATATAAACCAAGCCTATTTGACCTACATTGTTTAGGGCATTTCCCATAAGAAACAATATTGGCATTGTATACTTCCTTCCTTCTTTATCATTATATGTTTTGTTTAAAAAAAATATATATATGTATAAGTTTTTGCTGTAGAAGGGGGAGTTGAGAAGAGGGAATTGTATGACATTCATGTTTAACATTGTTCAGTGAGCAATAACCCACACATTTTGATGCTCAAACAATTATTTCATGTGAATCATGTTATATGTTCTTTTATATATGCAACTTATCATCCTACCATCGTGTCCACTGTAATCAAAATACAGTGTAACTTGACAGCTTGGCATATATAAAAATAAATTTAAAAAAAACTAAAATAAATAACTTTTATTGCTTTCAGGAATATTTTACAATAGTAACTCCCAACATGTTCTCACTAAAAATATACAAAAGCCTTTTCTGGTGCAGAAATACCACAGTTCCTTTACTATATAGCTATCTACAGTATTTAATTTTGCATGTTAGCCACATAAAAGTACTGGAAAACATTTTCTGAACTGCTGTGAAATAATTTATTTAGCCATAGAGTTATCTTGTAACAGAACGGTTTGTAGCCTCATAAAATTTAGATGCTTAAACTGGCAGAGGGCCACAAGAAAGGTGCAAAGGGTTGTATGAAGCCCAAAGAAACATCAGTTTGACATTCCTGCTATAGAGCACTGATGTTGAAAAAATGAAATACAACACAGTAACCTAGGGCTTTTTCTTAATGTGTTTGTGATAGCTTGTAGGTGACAGCTTATATATTCTTATGGCATAACTTGCACTAATTTGTTAGAAAAACCCAACTGACCCCAAGTAACCTTGTAATTATGTATTCTTGCTGCTACACATGCACAATTCACCCCTACACCCGTGTATACAGTGTTCAGCATAAATAAGTACACCCCTTTTGAAAAGTAAGATTTTGATCAATATCTGAATGAATACAAGAACAATTTCCAAAATTTTGACAAACCTGAGTTTTATAGAATATTTGTTTAGCTCATTACATGAAAGTAAGGTTAATATTATAACTTGAATTACAAAATCTTCAGTTTTACTCAAATAAGTTTATAAATGAATACACCCCACAACAAAGTCTACTACATCTAGTATTTTGTATGACCTTCATAATTTGTAAGGACAGCAGCAAGTCTTCTAAGTATGGAATGAAGAAGTTAGCAACATATTGAAACCTCTATCTTTTTCCATTCATCAAGAATGACCTCTTTCAGAGCCTGGGTTCTGAATGGAGAGTAATGCTTATCTTTAGAATTCCCCGTAGGTGTTCAATTGGGTTCAGATCAGGAGACATACTTGGCCACTGAACCACTTTCACCTTGTTCTTCTTCAGAAATGCAACAGTGGCCCTAGATGTGTGTTTTGGATCATTGTCATGTTAGAAAAGTGCACACTGACCAAGAGCACTGAGTGCTGGTAGCATCTTCTCTTTCAATATAGAGCAGTACATCTGTGAATTCATGATACCATCAATGAAATGCAGCTCCTCAACACCCGCAGCACTCATGCAGCCCCATAGAAGGTCACTGCCACCACCATGTTTCACTGTAGGCACCATGCATTTTTCTTTGTATTCCTCACCTTTGCGACGCCATACAGTTTTGAAGCCATCAGTTCCAACAACATTTATCTTTGTCTCATCACTCCAGAGTACAGAGTCCCAGTAGTCTTCTTTTTCCGCATGGGCCCTGGCTAATTCTAGGCAGAATTTTTTGTGCATGGACTTTAGGAGAGAGGCTTCCTTCACGGATGACACCTATGCATGCCATTCCTCTGCAGTGTACACCATATTGTGCCACGGGAAACCATCACCCCAGTTTGGCTTTCTATTTCTTTAGCTAACTGCAGTGAACTTGCATGCCGATTTTCTTAATTCCTTCTCATCTGGACGTCTCTATAAGATGGTTGCAGTTCCTTCTTTGTTAAATTTTTGTACCACTTTTGCTACAGTATTCTGACTGATAAGTAAAGCTTTGCTCTTGTAGCCTTCATCTTTCTTGTGTAAAGAAACTATTTTCTTTTTCAGGCCTTGTGAGATTTCTTTTCCATGTTTTGCCATTGCTGACAGCATGAACTGGGAAGGGGTTTTCTTTGTTAAGTAATGCCCTTTTATAATCAACTGTCTGCTGGACACCTGTTTAATGAATAATTAGAATCACCCGTAGTTGAATTCTTGTTAATTAGGATTTTGTTGTCTAAAATGTAGCTTTGCTCCTAAGACTTTCATTGGGGTGTATTAATTTTTGCAACATGGCCTTGAATTAATTTGTTAGGAAAATGTATTTTTTGTGTGTGCAAATGAACAGATCTTGTTTGCATTCAATGGCCCGCATTTGTGGGAGTATTTTGTAGTATAGTGTCCCATAGAGAATGTTGATTCTGAAAGAAAAAGTAAAGGTTTTCTGACAATTCTGTTGGGATGTACTCATTTATGCTGAGCACTGTATGTGTGTGTGTAGTAGTAGTAGTAGTACTGGTCTCTTTCCATTTCTGTGTTACTGCATTAAAACTGAACTCTAATGAACAGATAAATACACAGTTGTAATACAAACATTTAAAGTAAATCACAAAGGATTGATAATTCTGTTCAGTCAATCTTGTTCTCAGATAGCCCTGAGAACACATTTGGTAAAGTTGATATCTACCTGAGGATAGCCTTTAATGTAAAAAAGTATATCCTTCTAGAAATTTAGCAGCATGATCTCCCCACAAGAATTACTTCTTCTTCCCCTCTCCAGTTCTATTATGCAAAGGCAAAACTACAAACATAGCAGCCCATGCTGAACTGGCCAACCTTTGGTATGTGTGTACCTGGCCTAAGATTCAAGATATTTGGGAAGCCGATGAGTGACTGGACAGGCTTTGAGAACAAAATGAATGCAACAGTGAATGAGGAAATAAACTATTACACTTTAGATCAGTCTCTCTCAATATTTTTAACATACGGGAACCCTTGAAATATCTTTATGGTCTCAAGAAACCCCTGCTAATAATTACTATATCTATAGCTCAGGGTACATGAGTGTGTTGGTCACTGGAGAGAATGCGGTATTTGTGGTGATGGGAAGAATCATCACCCTTACAGATAGCTAAATAAGATAATTGCTGTCAGTGGTTACTGAACTGAGAGGCAAAAGTTGCTAATTGGTCAAGAAATCCATACCAATCTCTGAAGGGACCCTAGGGTTCCATGGAACCCTGGTTGAGAGAGGCTGTTTTAGCTTTATAATTAATAATCTTTACATGTTGTTCATTAAGGAGTTGTTTATTGGGGTGTCTCTTTTCTTTTCTTTGTAGTGTTGCTGTTTCAAGGTCAAAAGATGTCCCACCTTTTGGCCCGCCTATACCCAAGGGCGTGACATTTCCTAAATCAGCCGTTTTCAGGGATTTTCTTCTTGCCAAAGTGATCAATGCTGAGAATGCAGCACACAAGTCAGAAAAGTTTCGAGCAATGGCTACAAGAACCCGACAAGAATACTTGAAGGATCTGGCAGAAAACTTTGTTTCAACAGCTACTGTTGATAGCTCAGTAAAATTTAGTTTCATCTCTCTTGGAGCCAAAAAGAAGGAAAAGGTGAAACCAAAAAGAGAGGCTTATTTATACAGCACAGGTGCTATTGTTTGGAATGTTATAGCTCGGGACTTTGGACTTTCTTCTGACATTGAATGTTTTCTTGGGATATCCAATGAGTTTGTGGTCCTTGCTGAGAAAGAATCCAAAAATGTGGTTTTTAATTGCTCTTGTAGAGATGTAATTGGTTGGACATCTGGATTAATGACCATCAAACTATTTTATGAACGAGGGGAATGCATTCTTCTGTCTTCCACAAACAATTGTGCTGAAAATGTCCAAGAGATTGTACAAAGACTGGAAGTGAGTATATGTCATATAATTTTACCACAACATTAAAGGAATGGTTGATTTCACTTTTAAATTGTCAGTATGAAATTAAAGTTTAATGTTTAATGAAAACAATTTTTGGGGGAAAAAGCATGAATAATATGATGTACCTGTAAAGAATCGAAATCCTACAGGCTGATGGCTCCTGTAGAATTCCTCCCACTGATGCCGGTCCTCTTCACAATGGTGAATGTCTGGGTTAACTGCTTGGCTGTGTGTGTTCCTGCTATCTGTCTGATCTCATCCAGACTCTTCAACTATGCACACCTTCTTTGCCCCTCCCCCCCTTTCCATTTACTCAGAGAATTCCTGGCATTCTTTTCAAAGAATACAAAATTATCTGTGTGGAGGAGATCCCCCTCCTCCATCATAGTTTTTTTGTTTTATTCTATGTGAATTCATACATTGCATATCTGTATAAACGGCACAAAAATAATAGTATACTGCAAATGGTGACTACAATGTGTGCACTGAACATGAGTGTCTATTTTAACAAGTAATGAAGAACTTCACTACGTTTGACTGAGTTCAACATGCAGAATTGCACAGGACTATACAAACCCACAAAAAACCACCTTGATTCCACCCCACCATAACCGTCTGATCAATCATGATAGTAAAAAAAACAATGAAACTAAATTGTGGAGAAACTTTGCCTCGTCCCCTTTATTTGGGTTTTTAAAACAAATACGATTACCTTTAGCCTTTGCTGTACCACACCTTTAACAGTAAACTCACAGATCAATACCACCATTAAAACTTTAACCAAACCATCTACTCTGTCTTTCAGAACTCCAAGCATCAAGTACCATACCAACCACCAAGTACCACCATAAACAAACACTGTCCACCCACACCTGTGGGGCGACACTACCCCTATAAAGTTAGAGCTGTGACAAAGGGAGGGAAGGGAGATGACCGCTTGATTGAAGATTCAGACTGTTATACTAGACTATAGATGTTAGCACCTTTAAAGGAACACACATCATCTTCATTGGTTGCTTGATTGACTTTCAAATTTCATTTCTAAGCACTGTTTTTCTTTTAACTGCCCAGGATCAAAGTAGTGATTACCTTCTGACAATAGCTGTCTTTATGCCTTCTTATCAGTGACCAGGATGTGAGATGTCCCAGAACCTGAAATATAAACCGAGAAAGCCAGCAGAAAGATTATGTACCTTTTATTGTGCTAATTCAATTAAAGCTGTGAACCTACAGGAAGGAAAAAGAGGGGTTGGTTGTAGGGGGAGACAAGTCCCATGGGCACACTTGGTCATCCCCATGTCCCTAGCATTCTTTCTAATTGTCCCTGCTAACACTTGTATGCTCAGTTGCTCTATGCCCTATGCTGAAATAAGCATATGAGCTCTTTTTTTTGTTAATGTATTCAGTCATTTTTGCCCCCATAGACATCAATGGGTGCTCCTCCTCAAGAACTGGTCTCCTCCCATTACCCAGACCAGGAAACAAATGCTTAATATACATGCAAAAATGCTTGCCATAGCTTGTAAAATGCCCAGAAAAATGCTTCAAAATCACTCTGCTTACACTCTACTCAGTTATAATTGCAAGATTACTGTTACCACAGTGACAGCCCCTCCAAAGAGTAAGAGTCAAAAGTAAATCTAGCTGTTTGATTTTTATTGCACTTAACAAAGCACTGTACGTCAAAGCAAAATTACAAAATATTGGACATTTTGTGATTTAAACTCTCCACAGACAGGCTGCAGGTGACATACCTACTTTCTGGTTCTCTTCTCCACTTCTAGTGTGTTCGTTGCACAATGTATTAGTTTAAGCCTCTTTGGCCACTTAGCAGGGAGTTGACCCACAAAGAATTAAAGCTGAATAAAGAAACAGAAAAGCTGAAACAGGCAGATATAGAATAATTTTCTGGACTGTTTCATGTGGCTCCAAGTTGAGAAGAATGGCTGCACATAATTAAAATCATTTGGCAGTTAAAACAGTGAATGTACAGTATATTATTTCAAATGTACATTTAGCGGTTTGCTTGGAGTTCCACTTTTCTGGATATGGTACTTTGATATCTAATGATTCTGAGCAGCTTGAATTTGTTATCAGTAGTCCCGTTTTTATTTTACAGATTTAAATGCAGGGAATTGCAGCCATTTATGAAGGCTATATGCACAGTTGTAGTTTCATGACTTTAAACTTGCACAGTAGTGCAAATATAGTGCAACATGTTGAGCATAGTCAGGCATAGGGAAACAAGCTGAAACATGCTCAAGTGTGAATGGGGGCTAAAGGAGGTAGCGATTGCAAACATGGCACACAAACCATGTCTTACGTTCCTAATTAAGCCCAAAATATTGTTTATTGTGTATGTTGTTTATTAAAAAATACAACCACCTTGACTGTCTAGGATACAACATGCTGTGTCTAGATTGTTGATTAGTTTTTCATTTTTTTTCTCTCTTGTTACTAGATAGTCACTAGAGGCTGTGAAACCAAAGAAATGATCCTGAGGAGGAACAGTCTCGGTCAGCTGGGCTTTCATGTAAATTTTGAAGGAATTGTTGCTGATGTGGAACCCTTTGGGTTTGCATGGAAAGCTGGTTTACGGCAAGGAAGTCGTTTGGTTGAGATTTGCAAAGTGGCTGTGGCAACTCTTACTCATGAACAAATGATTGACTTTCTTCGTACTTCATCAACAGTAAAAGTGGTGATTATACAACCCTTTGAAGATGGCTCACCAAGAAGGTATGTTTTCATATAGTATCATTTTTTATTTTTCTAGCTTTGGTTATAAAACAATCTTTGCTATACATTTTCTAATGTGTTTTATTTAGAAAACATTTACTTGATTTTTTTCTTTTTTGCTAAAGTAAGCCTAGCAAGTGCATTATTGCCTACATACTGTATGGTAACAGACGTAGAACAGGCCTGTAAGTAATATATTGCTTTCTGATAAGTTATTGTCACTTTGTAAAACATTAAAGATACCCACCTAATAATCATGGAGATGCCAGTGCTGAATTGTCCATTTGAAAACATCAGTTCCCTGCCTGTTATTCTGAAGCTTTGGCTTCAATGTTTAGAGTCAGTAACCTGGAGCAAGTGTAGAGCTAAAATGTTACTAAACTCATAAACTAAATTAAATGTAGTATCAACACTCAAATGGTTGCTTATTTGCTGTTTCAAGTCATCCTCAATGTCTTCAATAGAAACAGAAAATCTTTCTGAGAATAATTTCATCTATACGGTGGCTACTCTGTGAAGAACCAACAGGCACAGACAGCCTCCTCTTTAATCCACAGCCCTGCCCTGCTCACCAGCTCTTAGATTGACAGCTTGTTTCCCTGTAATTGGCTGTCACAGGTGTGATACAGTGCATTCTCCCCAAGCAGGAAGTTCAGGGAAGCGTTTCAGAGAATGATACAGCAGCAATCATATTTTACAGAGGTAAAAAAAGATGCTTGGTAGCAAAATAAAAAACTATGAAAGGAGAGCTAATAAAATTGATCTAGAGGGAAACCTGAAATAATAGCTGAGGGTTAAATCAACTTTAAGCATTATGGTTTTGGGTCTGTGACTTAAAAGTACTTAAAGAAGAGCTGCAGCAATGGGATTAGTTTTAAATACATACTTTGGGCCAGCTTGTCTCAAACAAATTATTCAGATGGCTGATGGTGAAGCTGCAATTCATTTATATTATATTAAGTTACTTCTCACATTGCATCTAGGTTTTGCTGATGATATATAGAAAAAGGCAAGACTTCTCAGATGGGACAAGAATGTGAGGCTTTTGAGACAGATATTACTTTCATGTTTTATGTTGTAAAATGTCTCAAAAGAAATCAAGGTCTGGGTATTCAGAATTTCTATAAAGTGTCTGATCATGCACTAGCATGAAACTCTCATTAATCAACACATCATACTGTATGTCAAGTCAAACAAAAAACTAAAGAGCAGCTTTTTTAACTGCAGTTTTCAACTAACCCAAATTTTGGCTGTACACATTTAAATTTTTCTAGCAACTCTAGAATCCAATAAATCAATCCAACTGAAACCCAACAGCCTATATATATTTATATCTGAGGCTGTTCTGAGATTAAAAGCTTATTGAAATGGTTAGAAAAAAATTGCCATCTGTATGCCCAGTCAAACAGGTCATGGTTATAGGCTCATTTAAAGTGGAAGGAAAATTGGTGAGCCCCTACATTAATTTGCAAGTATATACAGCATACTTGAACAATATGGCACTCTTCCCTTACAAATGTGCCTTCCTCCAGCACTGACAAATCTATACTGTCAATCTTTGCGCCATTTTCCACTGCAGCCATCTGCTTTTACTGCTTCTTCCAAGTCCCATGCCTTCACGGCCATGGGGCAGCCTCTGATAATGTAACTCCTGCCCATGCACACAAGAAGTACATCATCCCTCATCATCTTGTGCTGTAAAAGCGATGGAGCGTAAACTGCACAGGACATGTACACAGAATTGAAAAAACTGCTAATAGTGACTTTGCATATCTCCTTTGCCAAAAAAAAAACTCTACTTTCTCTCAGTTTTTTTTTTTAAGTTTGCTTCAACTTTAAAAGAAGCAATTGGCCACTTGCTATGCCATATAGAAGATATGAAAGGTTAATGACTTCATAGTACTTAGTTTATGAAACAGGCCATATTGCCTAACTGTAAATCTGAACACTATAAGGGGACATTTGCTACAAGATATAAAAATAGGAATTACTTTGCCTTTGCTAGCAAATCTGGGAAACAGGTATCCACTTGCTGTAGCTGTTTGAGTTTTCTTGGTTACAACCTTGTTTTATACCATCAGTGGAAACGAATATTACTGATGGATGACTTAAGTAACATACTACATTTTCAGTACTAAGCAGAGTTCATGAAACGAGCAGGATGGGGAAAGTAGGATCCAAGCACAGGTTTGCCAAAGGCAATGTTAAAAGTGAGAGCAGACAGTCCTAGACAGCTAGTGAGCCAAAATAAAAAATCAGGCCATTCAAAACATATATAAGCAGAATCACTGAAGTACAAACCGAGGTTGAATATAGAACTAGAAAATACTCTAGTGCACCAGAAGAAACCTTTTTGTCTAGACACTGGCACTATATGCTGAACGTAATCTATGTTTGACACCCATCATGTTCAGAGTCATTTAGAACATAAATCTGGTGCATTAATTAGCATCAAGTGGTGCAGGTGCTTTAAGTGAGAAACCACCGATCCAAAGTAGAAAGACTTCTTCAATAGATGCAATTTTGGAAACAAAAACATCTTGACTGTTTTCTGGAAAGTGAACAGGAACTTGCTGGTCCTTCATTATGGTTTCAGGAATCCTCTGTGTCACTGCAAAAGTCTGACGAACTGCTATAGTCTGATAGCCCCAAGGACAAAGCAAAGGGATGTTAAAAAGACCACTCTTATCACACATTTGAATGTAGAAAAAAATCTGGTCCCAAAATGAGAAATCTCCCCAATGAAATCCTGGACAACAGTCACAACCTGACAGAAGTTCTAACCCTTCTCTTTCCGTAAGGTGTTATTTCAACATCTTGCTTTTTGTAAACACAAAGTACGAGATGTAATATTTATTTAGTGTTCACTGAGAGATTAATCTATCATTAGCCACATCATCAAGGGTAGTGGCTGTAACCACAAGAAGCACAAACACAAGAGAATTGCGGCCAGCACCAGAATGCCAGCAACTGTAAACCTTTTAGCTGTCTATGAAGGCTCCTTTAATATCTTGCAGTCATTTTATTGATTATGGCAGTGTGACAAGATAGCAGGACCCACTGATAGCATCTACTGTTTGTCATTATTTGGATTTCTGTTGGTCTCAATGGATATAATATTATAAAACAATATACATACAATTTCAAAGTGCAGCATTGTGATTGTGAAATGTGGTTGTGACACCGGAAGTTAATTCTGTCATGTAGATACTGACATTATGCTATCATTGCTGTCACTGAAAATGTCACATCTTTCTTCTCACTTTTTAAAATATTTGTTAAGCAATGGAGTGCCATGATGTATCATTACATTAGCTGGTAAAATAAAACTGTGACATTGGGGAGGTGTGAATTCTCTTTTCTGCAATTGCAATGTCAGACTGTGTTACTGATCTCCACTTTACTTTTTCTACGACTGAGACTGAAAACTCTTGATTTGTCCAGTAAACCATATTTCAATTTTAGAAATGTTTAACTATATATGTAAGGGAGTAACACAAATGAGAACTATCATTTTACAGGTTAACTCCAAACAGATATAAAAGTAACAAATGAAGGCAGTTTTGGATTTATTAATACAACTTTAAAGGATACCTTCACCTTTGGGAACATGTTACATTTCCACCTGTTTTTAGGGTGGAGCATGTAACATGTTTTCAATGCTGCAGGCACTGCCTTCTGCCCCCTCCCTCTCTGTGACAGAAGTATGGGATGAAGTTCCCAATACTAGCTGTCAGTATTTAAAAACAGCGCGGCCATGGGCTCCACCCACATAGCCGCATCATTCATTCACAGTGTTCTGTGAATGAATGAGCTACAAGTCCTGACAGCCTTAGCAGCTGTCAGCTTGTAGTTCTCAATGAACTAGTTCATTGATTTTTCCTGTCATTATATCTGCTTGCCCGTACATCCCGTCTGGGCAAGCAGATATACTGACAGATCTGCAGGAAGCCTGCATGGTACCAGCAATTTGCTGATCATTGGTGCAATGCAGTACAGGCTCTGGCAGCCAAAAATAATAAATGCACATTTTTTCTACCTGCAAATTATTTGTACAAAAGGTGAACTTACCCTTTAAATCATTGGGTGTTTTTTGTTTTGTTTTTTACATTCAAGCAGTATAAATACATGAATAGAACCTGCAACTTTCACTTACAATCCACTGCAGTGCACAAGCTCAGACAATGAGAGGGAGAAACAGTTCAAGGAGCCAATCAGTTGGCTGGTTGGGGGCTGAATCAAACTGCACAGAACTGCATGCGAATCGCACAGGAGCCACACAGTGTTCCTTTATAATTCCCATGCAGTTTCTAGTGTGAATGGGCCCTTAGTTTAACTACATTAGAGAAAAAAAAAAACAGATGTCCTACCTGCCAAACAGGGCTTTGTTGTTTGGCAGATCTGTGGAAATCTCAGAACTGGATGAAAATAAATTAAAATCCTTTAGCAGGTAGACTATCTCGTTTATGTGTATTTTATCTGTGTATTTAGCTGTTTTCCAGGACGTACTTTTAAGAACTTAACCCTTCCTTTCCTTTGAAAATGTGTAACATATTTTGGTGTATTTATTGACTCCTGTGAGGCCGTGTGTGAATAGCCTGCAAAATGTTATCTCTGTGCTTTTGCAAATTGTCTATTTCTGAAGGTAAATGTTTGTGTGCAGGGAAGGTGTGAGAGGCAGGTCCCTATACTCCTCTACATTTTGTTCTTAGTCATCTTTATGTGCGTCAGCACAGAGTCAGTAGCATGACTCACACATCATTCAACACCGGCAATGTTTTGGGGACTTTTACCAGGTCAAAACGTGTATGGTGCATTGACGAACCATTGTACAATGTATGATTGTGTTCTGAGCTTCTCTGATGTATAGTTGTAACAATCTTGAGCCTTTATAGAGGATTACAAAGTTTCAGTGGGGTGGAATTATAAGAGTTAACACGTTTGCCCCTTCCATTGCAACAGCTAGTGTTCAGGGTGAGGAAGGTAATATTATTGCGATCCAGTGTAAAATGTTTAAATTAACATATTTGTTCATTTTCATGATGCCATAGTCTCCATGCAAGCATGTACATGAGCCCTTTATCACAGAATTACCCTTTGCCCAAACAGTTGCTCTGTATTCCTTTTTTGCAAGCCCACACATGCACTGCTATGCAGCCTCTGCTGTTAGGCATTTTATTAGTAAATTTCTGTGGAAAGGCAGGTGCCTGTGAGCAAAACTGGATTTGACACGAGCATAGCCACGTTTTATTAAAAAAAGTTGCCCCTTTCAAATCAATGAAAGTAGACAGCAAGGGATTTATTTACTAAAGCTATGGAGAGCAAAATTAGGCTCACTTTTGCATAGAGACCAATCAGCTTCCAGGTTTTATTGCCAAAGCTTGATTGACCAAGCTGAGGTTAGAAGCTGATTGGTTTCAATGCAGAAGTGAGCATGATTTTGCACTCCCAGCTTTAGTAAATAAACCCTCAAGTGTCCCTGATCCAAATCCGATATAATAATAAGTTAAACATAAGTCACTGTTATGTATATAGCACTCTCCTAGATAGCTAGGGGGGAGCGAGTGTCAAATTGTTAGGCAGAGGCTGAGTAGCAGCCTGTGGTGATAGTCAGAGGGAGGTCAAATTCGGACCATCTGTACAGCGGGGAAGGAGTGGCACAGCAGAAGGCCTGATAGCAGCCACCAACCCTTCAGCTCACAGGCAGAGGACTGAGTAGACCTACACCCCCTGGGCCAGAAAGGGGAAGAAGCAATCTAGTGGGAAGCTGGATTAGTTTGGTACCTGGCACTGTCTTATCTTTTAAAGCGACAAGCACTGGATCCCCTGTTCAAGGATTCACTCAGTACAGCTGGATGAGGAGATGATTCATCTGGGATCTGGGTTGGTATACCAGGAGATGCTGGCTAGCTCTCCAGAAGAGAATTTTTGCTGTAGAGACTTGTACATAGTCCCAGGGAAATTTTCTTCAGTTGCCATTCCCTTTGGGCATTCCATAGACCCCTTACCCCATCCAAGTTCAATTCCCCTAATAAAACCCCCAAAAAAAACAGCTTAAAGTCTGGTTACTGTCTCCTTCATGCAAGTCTGTATATGGGAAAAGAACTATGGGGGTGGTGGGTGGTGCAAATCAGCACAACTCCTACAGGGGATATATAGTGCTTCATGTATTATTTTGCAGTTGAAAACTTAGGTCTCATGCAACATTGACAGCTCAAAAAATTGCCTGTTTTTCAGCCATTTACTTTTTTGTGTCTTTTTCAACGTCAAACGGCACGCACCTCTATGTTAGCCTTACCATGTTAGCACTCTCTGTCCATCGTACACACAGGCATTTACAGTTTTATTAGAGTCAGGAGCATTTAGAGGCAGAATTTAACAAACCCTTCACTAGCGCATTGCAGGAGAGAAGAGCTTTTTGGCATGTGGTTAAGGCAATGTTATACAGTGTGCCTACAAAATCTGCAGACATTAGCTATCTTTTCATTGTTTGACTTAATTATATAACCTGGCAGCACATTAACGTTTGGTTACATGTGCCTAATGCACTCAATGCATTCACATGCTATCAGATTTTCAGTCTTATTGATGTCTGGTTCACAATGGTGCAGTCATAGGTAACTACACGGTGTGTCCCGTTATAGGTTATATTTACGGATGCACAGCACCGCCGCTGTATTGCGAGGTGCTTTGTGGTTGCTATGCATTTTGAATAGCAACCCACAACAAACATAAAGCAGCAACATACTAGCTTGTAATTTACCCACAGTGCACAACTGTGAACTATTTGTTTGTATTTTAGAAAAATCTAAAAAGTGGCATGCATCATTTTTGGTTGTGCATTGCAGCCTAATTAAATTATGAAATGCGGCCCTCTTAATGCAATTCATGTAAAACAACATCATGGATAATTCAGGTTCAACCCATTCATGTGTTAAGGGCAAATGCACCAACGTGGAGCATGGCCCTTTAATTTAGGCCTGTGAACCTCCCTCAACCTGCAAGAACTTTTTGAGCAACTTGATTTTTGTTTTGCAGCAAGTACTGCTTTGATCAGCTGATTTCCGTAGACCATTATGGAGTATTGAAATGTTAACATGACTCTTTTATATTATGATGTTAACAGAAATTAACCGGTAGGTTATATATGATTTTTATGTGATTCTAGGACTGTGTTAAATAAATCTTAACTTTTTCGTTCATTCTGGATCACATAGGGGGTTTTCAGAACTTTGCCGTATGCCAGTGGATGGAATATAAAGTTGACAATGAAGGCACACCATGTGAATATAAAAACTCCCACTTCAGAGCTCAATACTACCTGGCACCGTTGGTACAGACTCCAGTCCGGACAGCTTAATTCTTGTTGCCTCTCCCAAGTGGTTAGGAAGTACTGACAGGCGACGCTGCAGTGCCAGCAGTATCTTCAGCTTTTCTGTCAACTATCACAGCCTCGGTTATTCCTCGTTAGCAGCAAATCCTTTGGCAGGAAGATGTCAGACAGTACAAGGTAATGTTAATTCAAGTGTTGAATTCATAAACAGATTTGTACCCCAATTATTTTTTAATAAAAATGCAATTTATGAGACTCAGTGAATATGTGATAAATTGTAAGTATTTTATAAATTAAATGGATGTGCATTTGTTTGTTTTTTTTTCCATATTTTATTGAGAAATAGAAAAAAACAGTCCTATTTTATAGCTCGATGGTACAATGTACTACAATCCATGAAGTAATATAAAATAAATACAGAACTACAAGATAAAACGAAAGAACTTTCAGGACCATTCAATAAATCCGAGCATAACCATATGACCATTGTAATTAGATCTAGAACTGCGATAGGACCCCTAAGGACTGAGCCCATGGCAGGAACAATATTGTACTACTTAAAGGTTATAAAGATAAAACCTTAAAGGAAGAGAGGGTTGTTTATTTTACAGAAAAGTATGAAAACTGAGTTTACAGTGATCCAAGTAAAGAAATTTAAGAGTGAGAAGGATGGTTTTAGCCAGATGAAGACATTGCTGAAAAATGAGAGATCGAATCTGAAAACAATGATTTGTCCTGGTATATTAGACTTGATGATGTATGGGGATAGAAATGAAGAAATAGGTTGTAGGAAGGAGTGTGTGTGTGAAAAGAAAAAGGTGATGCTAATTAGCCTACAACATTTGTTTAAATTTGTTTTTTGAAGAAACATTTGGTGCTGACGTGGAATGATTGTAGTATAAGTAGTTCCACACTTCCTATTCTTATTGTAAGTGGAACTCGATATAAGATTTCCCATTTTTGTGAAATCATTATATAGAGGGCCTCCACAATAGAATTAAGTTCAGGGACTTAGGCAGTGCATTGTCCAGGAAATTAGATTTTTCAGGTCTGTAGGTGAATCCTTTGAAAGAGACTTCCAGTACCTGGTAACTTGTAGATAATGAAGGTGAGCATCTGGAAGATTAAATTCCTGAACTAAATTTTGAAATGATTTTGGCAGGAAGGTATCCGTATAAAAGAACATAAGTAGGAAGCTGACACCTCTACGTTCCCAATCCAAAAAGGCTTTGTATTCCATACCCTGCAGGAACATAGAATTGCTGTGAAGTGGGAGATGCAGTTTGTTTTTTTATTTTAATATCATTTTAAAGTGCATCCAGCAACAAATGTTAAATTTGTGCAGCGCTGCTCCAGTGAAAAATTAATATGTTGTAAATTACCAACAAACTTTTAAAAAATGCTAAAATATAGTGCCAAATAATTTCAATACAATACATTTGTATTCTATCCATTCATAACATAAACCAGCAACTCCTGTGTGTGCACATGCACAAACCAGGAAGTGTTACCAGTTTTTTATATATGAGACTGGCTATAGATGACACCAGTAAATGTATAAATTGAGCTGTTTACTTGTATAAACTGGGTAATAGAGTACAATAAAGTGTGAATGTGTTTTCATTTTTAAATTGCTTTTAAAAAAATGTATTTTAAACCGATGAGCACTATGTAGTGTTTATGCTTTGCTTTGAGTGATGGTAGAGAAACATGGAGTTTGCCTGGCACCTCTGTATCCCAGAAAGAGGAAAGTAATGTTTATGGCCTCTATAATAAGCACATCCTTACTGTGAAGCACTATTGGTGAAGGAAGTGTGGTTTTGAGACACAAATAATATTGGTGACACGGTGCACAGAAGATTGTTGTTTTTTTTAAAATTATTTTTATTAAGGTTTAAATGTACCTAAACAGTAATATATTGTACAATAGCAATCCACGTAGGTACAATTAACAATCAAATACTGTCACATCCAGTAAACTTGGCACCCTACCCAACCCCCTTTCCCCCCCACTCTAAACTGTAATGCAATACCTCAGATAGGAAAAGGTGAGGATCATATAACCCCTGTATAAAAAAAACAAATCGTAAAATCAAGTAAAGTGCAGTGATGTAAACTTATGGTATCTACAAGTACAAAAATGGGACAATCATAATAGAGGACCTGCTCTGTCCTATTCACTGGGCAATGTACTCCTGAAATACACTTATCCCCTCTGATCACCTCGTGTCAGAGTGGATGTAGCAGAGACCCAACTGTGCCAGACCTTATCAAACTTGCTTGGACAGTCTCTACTCAAAGAGGTCGCTTTATACAAAGGCAACATGTTATTAATCAGGGTTTCCCAGAATGATATTGAGGGGGCTTCTGTTTTTCTCCAATGGAGCAGGACTGCCTTGTAGGCATAAAAGATGATTACTGATAGAAAAGTGTGCTGTGCCCATAAGGGTGCCATATACTCTACTAATCCAAGAAGAAAAACAGTCTGCAGGATTTGCAATGTCATAAATTCAACAAGGGACCGGATCATCTCACACCAGAAGTCACAGACAAAGCCAGAATACATGATCAAAGTCTGCCAGTAGAGATTCACAATGCCAGCAGTCCACCAAACCAGAAGTATATATACGAGCCAATCTGGCCGCCGTGTAGTGAATTCTGTGCACCATCTTAAATTGAGGCGGTCCCTGGCCAATACCAGAAGGGGTAATCCCATATAACATCCCAGTCATCTCCCTGGAGGTCAGAAACTACTGAGGTCCACTGTGCCTGACACTTCTCCAGTGGCTTGGGTCTAGTTACAAAGAGCGCTTTGTATACCCCAGAGAGCGTTTTTTTAAGGGCATCGGAGCACAGCAACTGCTCTAGCTCCGAGGTCCTGACGATCAGGGTGGTACCACCAAACTGTGCCACAAAAACATGTCGGAGCTGTAAATAATGGAAAAAAATACCAGTTAGAAAGGTGGAACTTCAGTTTCAGCTCATCAGAGGTAAGGAGTCTACCCACGCCTATTATGTCTTTGAGTTTTTTAATTCTTTTACTGGCCCAGACCACAGGGTCAGGTACAGTGTTAGGGTGTGGGAGACAACGGTTAAACCACAGTGGAGGGGAGAAGACGGCGAATACCCTGCCCGTTCAGGCTGCATAAGGCATTGCACCTAATCCTAGCCTCTTAGGGTGACTTTCATGGATCCCATAAGGAGAGCATGCACCTGAAGACCTCTAAAGAGTAAATTATGCCGCACCGCAGAAGTGTGAACCCAGGCTCAATCTCCCTCCACACTCTCCTCGCCAATCTCCCAGGCTATAGTATTTATATGTCCCTGCCCACACGCTACCTCTTCTGGGAAATGTAGTCCTAGGCACTCTGCTTATCAGCCAAGTTCTTCTGTTCAGAGATGCAAGTTCCAGAGGGCTGTTCTGTCAATGTGAGTAACCCTAAATAGCAGGCCAACATAATCTAATGTCCACTTTAATGTATATCAAGTAATAACATTTAAATGGGCTACACAATGTCCTGAATAAGCAATGCTATTGGTGTATATGAGGAGCATTTCAGTTTGGGCAGCAAAACAACATGTGCTTCAAACATGTAGGTAGGCAAAGTAGAACTGTCCAAACAGTGTTGGTACAGAGTGTGTAACATAGCCCCTAGGAGCTCTATTTAAGTTCTATACCATTCTGAAGGAAACCCGGGTGGGCCAGGTGATCTACGAAGAGGGAAGGAGCGAATAGCTAATTCAATTTCTTCCAAGGTAAAATCATTGTCTAGAAAGTCCACCTCAGCCGTAAAAAAAGTGTTTTTAGTTCATAACAAGAGACTTTGTGGATGTTGCTATTTTATATTACGGATGGACACAAATCTATTGTATTGAAATTATTTTCACTATATTTTAGCATTTTAAAAAAGTTGGTTGGTGAAAGGTTTTAATCGCACATGCATGGTCAAATGGTAATGTATCTATTTTTACCTGGAGCATCGCTCCACTAATTTTTATTATTCACATCCACATCTGCAATACTATAAGACCACAACACAGGAGGATTTTTATTAAACGTCAATAGCACAAATCAGCCTTGGCACCAAGATAGCTAGTAATACAATCCTCTGGTGTTTTGGACATCTACAGACCCTTATTTTTCTATTAGAAAGTGCTCATACCTCCCAACTTTAAAAAGAGAGACAAGTTGGCCTAGATTACGTGTGGCACATAAAGTAGAAGAGGCTGCTTGCACTGAATTTTGGGTATGGCTTAAAGGAGCATGGTTGAATAAAGCTGTTGCCTACTCGCTGTATATGTTGCACACATTCCTTGTACCCAAAAAAATACCCCTTAATTACTGCTCTACAAGTTAGAGTCTCATACACATGCATAAACCTCAGCATTAAAATTCTTTCAACAACACATGCATTATCTAGTTAGTCTTCATAACATAATGTAAAGTTAATACATAATGTTAAAAATCAAAATCTCCCAGAATGACGCTTATTTATGTGTCAATGTAAAGGAAGAGCAGGTAGTTTCATATGCAAAGATTACCAGTCCAGTCATGTTAAGCTGATTCCCATTGCTTTTCCCCACTTTCTAGAAGAAGAAATGTGATTAAATATACCCCACATGTGTGCTGGTAAGACAGCAGTATTTATCACAAGGCAGTAAAAAAAATGAACAAAAATAGATTACATCAGAGATTGTAGCCGGAGAGAGCATAAAGTGGATTAAATTGCCTACTCATTTTGAAATGTGCAGATATCTGCAGGGAAAGCTGTCTACTTTAATGAGCTTCCTTTTTACACTGTGGAGTATGATTGTACATTTGCGTTAAATCTCCTGTTCTCATGGATAAAATGCACAGGTAAATATATAAAATTTTGAGCATGTGAGCATTTGTGCCATTACATAAAAATGATTATTGTACTGATTTTACCAGCTGTATGCTGTATTTTTGGACTTGTGTGCAATACTTGCAAATGTGGTGTGATCCACACTGCAAAGCACAGCTATGACCTACCCCTATGTTGCATAGATAAAAGAACTTTATTTAAACTTTTTAATTGGATAGGTTGATTTATTTACAGTCAGCTTATTTGAACAATGGATTTGTGAGGTTGCAAAGACGAATTAGGGTTTTACTGATTTGATTATTTGGTTAAAATGGACCTTGACTTCTGCAGAGGCTATAACCTATATATAGTTGCATCCACCCCATCTCTCATTGCTAGGCCTAAGAAAAATAAAAAATGGAAAATTATATACCTTAGATCTGACATCCAAGGTGCTCACCTAGGCTTAAATGTATACATTTGTAAATAGACCATAAACCAAGGTAATTTTCATTAAATCCTTTTATAACTGGGTCCATGCAAGCAGAATAAATAGGATATATTGCTGTAAATATGTGCAGTGATACTAATTTAAAAATGTTACATGTAGAAAAATTAAAAGAATGAAATGTTTATCGTCCATTGAGAGGCACAGGAATGTAGTACTTCTTAGACATGTGGGTTATACTGTTGCCTACAGGAGGTTTGGACACTGGCACACAGCACACAGAAAAAGAACAGTTGAAGGGCAGCACCCATATAACCCTACCCCTTCCTGGTATGCCTCAGGTTTTTTGATTTTTTGCTAGCTCTACAAGAAAATAATAATGTCTAACTATGTTTTTGCTAGCTTTTATGTTTCCCTTCAGTCAACATACTTGATACACCATAGATATTGTTTATTTGACTTTGGCTGTGTGTCTAGTCTGTATATAGTACCTGACCAAATCAGTGTGTCTTTAGCAACAGTTTTGGAGGCCGTACCTGGACCCCGCTGAACTGGAAGATTGAAAATCTAGCCTGAAATGTGACCTCTGGGTACTGGACTGTGCTTGTGGAGCTTTCTAGACCTTTTTGTACTCTATAGTTAGGCACAGAGTCTTCCTAGATCTGGAGCCATGGCACAATCTTAGATTGGACCCAGTCTCTGAATACTGACTCTGGACGGTAGGACTCTGGGCATACTGAGGCTATCCTGGAAAGTGACCTTGGGGCCCTAGTCTCTGAATTTTGGTGCTTTCCAAACCTTGTGTAACTTTATTAATTAGCTGCAGAACACTTTTCGTGTCCAGAGCCGTATCCCAGCATTTGGTGTGACCCTGTTTCTAAAGGCTGACTTAGTGAGCAAGACTGGTTTGGATGAACTGCTTAACAGTTGAAATTGTGTGGTGCCATATTAAAATTTCTAGCCGTTTTTCAATATGGCATTCTCAGCTCAGTGTATGGTGTGGACAGGCATGTAAGTAACTGTAATGCAGAAGAGGCATAGTATGTCCCTTTTGCCAGTTTGTCCCTGCATTAAAAATCTTACCTGCCTCTCCACATGTTTTTTTTTTTTTTAAAGTTCCACTTTAATTTGTAGCACTTTTTTCTCTACAAGGGAAGAGACCTTCTGAGTTAGTCAGCTGGGAATGGTTTGCATTGCTCCCTCCTCTAGCAGGGTTCTGACCCCTCAATGTTCCTCAAGTGTATTTGTAGTCCCATTGTGGGATGCTCAGGTGATCTTCTTATAAGATGGCCTTTTGGAGTCTGATAGCCAAAATCAAAGAGCCTACCTCCTGTAAGTTTTTACACCAGTTGAAGCCTTCACAGATGTCCAATGTTGTTAATAATTGGTCACCAACATACAAGGCTGACCAGCTTATATCTGAAGTGCTCTGCACCCTTGGGGATAGTGGAAACGGTCACAGTACTTCACCCTCCTTTCATATAGGGACTAGTGGGGTACTAGAGACTTGCGCTCTTTAAATTACCCCTTCTTTAGCTGATCTTTTCTTAGCCCCTCCCTTGGCATCTTGATGTCTGAAATTTAGGGGAGACATGCAGGCGGTCCCAATGGATTTAGTGATTTGAACCCAGTCTCTTATGGTGTATGGGTTGACTAATTACCCTAGTCCTGAGATGACTTTTGTCTCTGAGCTGTCCTCATGTCTAGGAAACCTGGAATTCCCTGGAGCAGTCAGTGTCTGCTTCTTTGGGGATTCCACTGAATAGGTCTCATGACCTAGTATCTCTTGGACAGCAATTTGGTGCTTAAAAACCTTCATCTTTAGAATGGCTTGGGAATTCTCCCTGTGACAAGCTGAGTGACATGGTTCCTTTACCTAATAAAGTTGAGGGTGTTACTCTCAACTGCAAGTTTTCCTTCAAAGGCATCATGTTTGCCTTCTAGGCCTCCCTGTCCTGTAGTCTCCATTCTGGGAACAAAGATTGTGTGTTTAGGTGTGCTTAATCTCCTACATGGTAGCAAGAAATCATCGCTGGAGGGCTTGGTGTTCCTTTAATTATTATCAGACTGCTTACACTGCAGCCCTGCTGCAGACACTCTCAGCAAGAAATAGTACATGTTCTGGGATCCTCACTGGTTCTGATAGTTGAGATCAGGCCCTCCTTCTGTTCCTGTATTGCAGCCCCTAGTGAAATTTCTTCAAAATAATTTCCCTGTTCATGTCCTTAAACAGGTGATCATTCTTAGCTCTTTGGAAAAGGTTCTTCCACCTCACTCCATGGCTATATATGCTTTGCTGAATCTTGACAGGTCATAAGATTAGTTCCATGTTCAGGTTCTGGTAGGCAAGCACTGGAGGGATTTGTTTTCCTGTCAGGTTCTAGTGACACCATCACTTGTTGTTGTGGATGGCCTGTTTGTCAGATGGTTTTGTTTTTTTTTTGTTTGGTGTTGCTACACCATTACCCTTGTCAATGATTCTTGTCCTGATCTAAGCATCAGGTTGATCCTCTGTGATCTCCCCTGGATCATTACCAGTTCCCCTGTCCTGTAGCAAATCTTCTTGTTCAGATGTGGGCATTTGTCCTTCTAGTTGTTGGACATCGTTTCTGGTTCTATCTTAGATCTATCAGTTGGACTACCGTATTTGCCGGCATATAAGACGACTGGGCGTATAAGACGACCCCCAACATTTCCACTCAAAATATAGAGTTTGTTATATACTCGCCGTATAAGACTACCCCCTCTTCCGCACACCTTCCACACACCAAATAAAATGTAAAAGAACATCAGATTTGATTTCAACATCTTAATTTATATTCGCAGTATACCCCTGTGTGCATTTATTGTTACCGGTTTCACATGAGTGCCATTAGTATTAGTGCCACTACAGTACCTGTCATTGTCACCATTGTACGCGACCGCAGCGCCTCCGGCCAGTCCCTGCATCTCCCTGTAATTGGCACTAGTGCGCATGTGCGAGCTCTGCATAGACAAGGGGCGGGCCGGAGCGCCGCTGCTTCCCGCCGAGCAGAAAAGGCTGGCACCCCTGTATTGCTGCTGATGCTCGCCGCAGCCACGCTGATGACCCGCTGCGGCCGCACTGGATGGTATGTAGAATGAGGGGGGCGGGCATCGGGAGGCCACTATGGCAGCTATATCTATCCCAACTGAAGTGCACCCGGCGTATAAGACGACCCCCCCACTTGGAGGCATGTTTTTCAGGGCAAAAAAGTCGTCTTATACGCCGGCAAATACGGTACTTTTGGACATCCCAAATGTCTAAGAGTGTTTAGATTCCTGTGTCCCTCATAGGACAATAAAGAAAATAAGATTTTTTTACTTACCATAAAATATTTTTCCTGAAATTCATTGAGCGACACAGTGCCCACCCCTCTGTTTATTGGCTTTATATACTGCTTGCTCACAAAACTGAGGCATGAAGGTTAGGGAAGGGATTATATGGGGTTGACCCTTGCCATTTGTCTCCAAAACATCCTGCAAGTGGCAGCATAACCCAAACATCTAAGAATCATTAAATTCCTTTTGTCCCTAAGTGGACTTCAAGAAAAAGGTTTCTTGGTAGGTAAAGTTTTTTTTATGTTTTTAATGACATGTTCTTGCAAAGTATTAAAGAATTAAAAATCTTGGATGTCCAAAAAAACACAAACATCATTTGCTAGCATGAATCCGTTTACGTTATTGGAAACATTTCTATAGTAATGCAGTAAAGGTTTCAAGTACTTCTACAGTATATATGGCTATATAGGTTTTGGCCCCATCACCCTTTCAAACACCATCCGCAGTAATGGAACTATAACTCTAAACAACAGCCACATGCATAATTAAACATGGAAGGGACAACAGAAGGGATAGTCACCATAACATATCCTAAAAAATTACCTAAAACATTTTATCAGTTAGCTCTCCTTCAAAAATCCCCTTTATGCCGTGGTGAAGATAACTCCAATTCGTAAAACTTAAGGACATGCAAAGCAGCTTACCCCTAGGACCTCTACTTTCTTTTTGACTATCTTCTCTTTCCCAGCAATCTTTCTCTTGCTGCCTCTCCTCTTGTAGGACTAACAATAGTCAATCAGCTATATTCTACCCTCTATTTCTCTTACGTCTTCACTTTCCTAATCTCTTCTATTCCTGTTCTCCCTACCTCATTCTTGTAGCTCTCTCTCTTGGGGCTTACTTGAAGGGATAAGTGGATTTCATTATTTTATCCAATATTCTGCTAATCCGTGCTCATTAATTGGTAATCAGGAAATCTTGAGACATACACTGAATAGTGTATATTTGTCGGCTGAGCAAAATGCAGCTCATCTAGGGGCTTGATCATTCATTGATAGATTTTCGGATTTCCATATATTATGTCATCAGTGCTTTTTGACAAATCTGGTTATTGAGCCAGATGTTCACATTGACAAGCTGTTTTACTTTAAAATAATTTAGATATATATACACACATAAACAAATACTCATATGCCTTATTGCCCATCATTTACAATGTAATTTACATACTGATAAGTCAGTGTTTTTATTTATTAAATACAGGCCAATTCAAGATATTGACAGTTCACAAATATCCCAGGGTGCTGTTGTTGATCCAAACCAGCATTACAGAAGTTCACCAAGTAACCAGTCTTCCTCCAGTGACCCAGGGCCTGTTGCAAGTGTTCAGTGGAGACATCATATAGGATTTGAAGGGTAATGTGCTATAGTGTGTGTGTGTGTGTGTGTGTGTATGTATGTATGTATGTATGTACACTGTTTTATAATCTTATTTATATTTTATTTTTTGTTCCCAGCTGTACAGTATAAATTATTACACTATAGAAGTGCATGTTTATAAAACATTACTCCAAACATTTTGTGCATTAATTAAAACCTTAGACCTTGGCTTTGAAGAGAAGTACTAAACTCTGAATAACCCTGAATATTATATGCGGTTAGAGTATTGCTTGTTGTCAGAGAGTGCTGTGTACTAGCCAGCTGTTCTAGTTCCCAGTGGCAACTGTTGTTTCATGTCTTTGTTGTGACTTAACCACTTAATTAGCATGCAGCATTGGTCTAAGCTCTAATTTAGTATGGATTCCTGTACCAGTCCTTGGAGCTAAGCTGTTGACATTTACCCAATTTAAATTATATATTCACATGCCTGAAGATGTATGTATACCTACTTTTGCACGTTTGTCTTCCTGGGAGCATGTGATGAAGTTTGCACATTTATGTGAACCATATGCATGCTAAGACTAGGCTGTAACTAACACCTCTAGTCACACAATACTGTGCTGAGAGCCAAACATTTCCACTCCCTGGTGACTGCTGTCTTTTTCATATTGATACAGTACATTCCTATATATATGACAAGGATTGGAAATTCCTTACTGCTTTTTGCACAGCAGGTTGTATCGTAGATCTTACCAGTGGCTTTTCAGAAAATGTCTGCTAAATACAGGCATCTGCTCACAAGTAGCACATTAATACATTTAGTGTTGTAATAATAAAATACATACATTTCACTTAGATATGTAAATGAAATGAAGCTGTGTTCTTTTTAATTCATGTGCATGGAATAATTATTTTCCCTTACACATCATTTGGTATGTACAATGAACATAGTTTCCGTTTGTTAAGTGAACATTCTCTGCCCATCTAGTAAATCAACTTCACCATGTTTAATTCAGAGTCAAGGATTCATTTGACTGATTTGAAAAAGGCTAAAAAATAATTGTAAAAATCAAATGAGGACATAAATTGTAAGTAGCAATATTCCAGTTAACCATAATTGCTAACAATGCTTTGCAAAGTATCCTTAGCAGAAATCATGCTAAGTAATCAGGGTAGTCATCAGAAATGTTGTGGCCCCTTACACAGTCTTAGGCCTGGTGCCCGACACTGGGCATAACCACCTATATTCCCCAGGGCCCACCCACTCCCTGTCCCACTGAATCTGCCCACTGGCCATCCCACTGAGTCGTTCAGTGCACCCACTTTTATTTAACACTCTTACAACTTAATATGTGAAAATTAAGTCATCCGTGCCTTCAAAACAGTCAGAAATTGTATTTTGGCCAAAAAATATAAAGCCTTCCACCACAACAAGGTAGTCTGCGTAAGACCCTACACTAACACTAAGTGCACTAACATTTCAATTCCCCCCCATTCTATATTCCTCTAGCAAATCTAAGAAAACAAAAAACTCCAAAACAAAAAACAAATATTTTCAGCAAAGAGACATCCCAATCTAGCAAAGAGACTTTCCCATTCAGCAAAGCGATATCCCCATATATTCAGCAAAGAGACATCCATCTGTAGGAAAGAAACAGCCCAATGCAGCAGATACATCCCTATATATTCAACAAAGAGACATCCTAATCCAGCAAAGAGACAGCCCCATATAGAAAAGAGACATCCCAATCCAGCAAAAAGACATCCTGCATCCAGCAAAGAGACATTCCTATATATTCAGCAAAGAAAAAAATCCATATTCAGAAAAGAGATGGCTCAATCTAGCAGAAAAACATCTCTATATATTCAGCAAAGCGACATCCCAATCCAGCAAAGAGGCTTCCCAATCCAGAAAGGAGACACCCCCATATATTCAGCAAAGAGACTTTCCAAGCCAGCAAGGAGACATCCCAATCCAGTGTAGACATCCCCATATACTCAGCAAAGATACATCCCAATCCAGCAAAGAAACATCCCTATATAGCAAAGAGACAGCCCAATCCAGCAAAGATGCATCCAAATTCAGCAAAGAGACATCTCCATATAGCATAGAGAATTTCCATATAGCAAAGAGACAGGCCAATCCAGCAAAGAGACATCTCCATATAGCAAAGAAACTCCCCAAATAACAGAGACAGCACAATTCAGCAAAGAGGCAGCCCAATCCAACAAAGAGACAGTAACAGCACAGTCACACATCCAGCAACATTGTCAAATTACCATTGTGACGTCTAACAACTTAACAATGTCAACAGTGAGCACTGAGCAATCCTGCAGGCAGCCCCCCCCACACATGAACGCTTTCAGCCCCCCTCACACCTGTATGCACTCAGCTCCCCCACGCTTGTACGCACTCAGCGCCCCCACACACCTGTATGCACTCAGCGCCCCCCACACACCTGTATGCACTCAGCCCTCCTCACAGCTGTACACACGCAGCCCCCCCCCCCACACCTCTACACACTCAGCACCTCCCCACACCTGCACACACTCAGCCCCCCCCCCCCCCCCCCCCCACACACACACAGCTGTACACACTCTGCAATCCCCCCTCCCCCCACACACCTGTAAACACTCAGCCCCCCACACCTGTAAATTTGTCAGAGCCCTTCCTACACACATATATTGACACACACAAAGCCCCGCCCCCCCTGTACACAAAGAGCCCCCTCCCTTCACTGGTACACTTTTCACAGCCCCTACTTGTAAAAGAGGTCTTCCTTGTCCTAGCTCTTGTTTACACTAAGCTGACATGCCATTGGAAGGAGCCAAGCACAGTCCAGGATACAGTACAGGCGGCGCACAGGAGTGCACATGCAGGAAGTAGCCATATGGAGGGTAAAGAGCCCAATGTGAGCAAAATGACAAAGAGCAGCAGCAGCTCTTCTGTTGTGAATGAATGTATAGAGAAAGACAAGGCAGCTACGCTCCTCCCTGGCCTGCTTGGCAGCTGGTTTCCTTGGGACACCCGGGCCCCTCCTGATGCCTGGGCCCCCTACATGTGTATTGGCTGCCCCCCCCCCCCCCCCCAGATAGCGGCCCTGTAAGTAATATTCTTACTCAGTAATTGGCAAGAATCTGCAATAATTTGTATTTTTCTTAAGTACTTGAAAGTAAAACCATGATTAATTCATATTGCACCAATATGGTTGTGCATAAAATTCCACGTGTCATAGCAGTATGTCCACAGGATTAGTTTCCTTAATAGACATGGAAAGCAAAAACGTACATATAATATAGACTTGATATAATCTTTCACTGATAAGTCTCTCTAATGATAGATTGTCTGTAATTAAAAAAACATGTTTTTTCATTGCTTTCTTAATCTCTGTGAATGGTAATGAGCACTTGTAGTGCTAACTCTTATTAGTTTTCACTTAAAAGGGTATCCTAACAGTGCTTAAAGTGGTAGTAAACTCTTCCTTAATAATTTTACCTACAGGTAAGCTTATAATAAAGCTTACCTGCAGATAAAATATATATCTCCTAAATGTGAACCGTTTGGGAGATATTAGCCCTTTTTTATATTCGGCGCATTCGCTATAAAGGCTTACCCGCGCCGTTCCTTCAGAGCACTGTGTCGTGGCCTGGGACTCTGCGGGAGTGAGATCATCGCGGCTCAGCCAGTCAGCCTGCCTGAGCTCACTAACGCGGAAGCAAGACGGGGTGAAGATGAAGAGTCGTGACAGTGCTCCGCTGGAGGGCTTTGTTTCAAGGTAAGTCCTTCATAATGTGCTAGTATGCAATGCATACTAGCACTTTATGCATTTACCTTGCAGGGTTTTTTTTTCTTTTTTTTGGATGTGGTTTACTACCGCTTTAATTTTCTCAGGTGCTGCTTGAATTATTGGCATCCCTTGCAAACTTTAAACTGTGTATGGTCACCCTTAGGGAATCAATTAAATGCCCAGGTCAGTTAGTCACCTCATTTTATTTTCTGAACGCAATGGATTTTGGAAAACTTGGCTGATTTCTGATTATTATTGTACTCAGCAAACATTAAAAATCTAGTAGTTGCCATTCCAGTATATTATCAAAAAGGATTTGAAACTTGTTTTAAACTGGAGAATTCTACTGCCAATTGAAGCTGCATCCTATTTCCTGTGATTGTTGAATGCATAAGCCTCTGTACTAAGACCACACTTTCACACGGACTCCTGTATCTCTGGTTTACAATCAGTTCTGGTCTGCTTCTTTTCTCTTTTCTGGGTTTAGTAAGAGGGTTACTTCAGGTCAGGGCTGGAGGGCGCTACAAGTCAGTCCTCTGGTACCTCCCCTTGCTGTAGAAGCTAAGAAAAGCATCTAGAAGTCAGTAGGCTGTGAGGAGGGACTGATCAGCATATTTATGGGAGTCTGGCCAATCCCAGGCAGGAAACCTGGCAGTGTGGCAGATCAGTTCATAAATATGGCAGAGCCTGGCCAGCAGGGGTGTCGTGTGAAAGATGGAGTGCTGAGAGGTGCTGCTGTGTATCCTGGGAAGGGTCCCCAGAGAAGCGGGGGTCTTACTTCCAGGCTGGAGGTTGGAAGCTGGAGTAGGAAGACTGAAAGGGGGAGTTCCACTGCCCTGCAGTCCACCGGAAGGAAAGACTGCAAAGCTTGGAGAGGAACTAGTCCAGCTATAGAGGCTTAGATCAAGGAATTGGTGAATCAGGGCTTAGATCACTTCTCACATTGATACAGACATTGCCACCTTTTGGTCTTACTCTGTCTCTCCGACAGAGAGCATAGCCAGAAATATTAATAGCCCAGTCATGTGAAGAATAAAGCCAAGATTCAGCAATACCAGTTAAATCATAGTTTTTTCTTGCAGCAAAGTATCCAACTGTCCTATTTTGCTTGGCAGACTTCTGGCATTGGTGAACAATCGCTAAAATTCATTGTCGCATTTTGCATTTGTTTTTTCCATAATTTTTTTGTGAAACAGTACTATAATTGCCCATGGTTGTTTGTAACATGGGAAACTCTTGTAACCTACCATAATCTTCCCCCCAATTTTCCACCATTTCATTCTCCATCAGTGCCTGACCTCATCTGACTTCCCTACCATATAATATTCTAACTTCCCCAATCCTTGTTAAAATGCTCCTCCAATCTTCTGATAAACCTCTTCCCTAGCACAGCAGACCCCCTTCCATTTAGGTGCAAACCAGGGGCGGACTGACAAATCATGTGGCCCCCGGGCAATAGGGGATTATGGGGCCCCTGTGTCCTTGCCCAAACTCAAAAAAGCCTATGAAAAAGGTACCAGGGGCATCTCATGGGACCCCCTACTGACCCCGGGCCCTCAGGCGGTGCCCGAGTTTCCAAATGGTCAGTCCGCCCCTGGTGCAAGCCATCTCTATCATATAGGTTGTACCCAATGAAAAGTCAGCCCAGTGCTCTAGAAACCCAATTACCCCTTCTGTCTTTAGCCATGCATTTAGTTCTCTGATTTTCTCCTGTCTTTTCTGTAAGAAATACTGTAAGAACCCCTTTCAAATACCGTATATACTCGAGTATAAGCCGAGTTTTTCAGCACATTTTTTGTGCTGAAAAATGGCCCCCTCGGCTTATACTCGAGTCAACGTCTGCAGGGGGGGGCGCGAGGCTCCGTCAAGGGGGGCGCGTACAGGGGTGGGCAGAGGGCTGCTCTTACCTGGCTCCCACGATGATCCATCCAGGAAGCGCTGCTCCTTCCGTCACTCCGGCCACTCCCTCACTCCTGCCGCTCGGCTCCGCCTCCTCACCGGTGATTGGCCGCCGGAACTGTAGCTCAGGAAAGGTACACAGGCGGCCAATCACGGGCGAGGAGGCAGAGCCGAGCGGACCCGCGAAAATCGAGTGAGGGAAAAGCCGGTAAGTGTGCAGTGCAGAGGTGCTGTTGCAACCACATATGCTGGCTGCAGCAGCACCATACTGCAACAGGGGGTCAGCAAGTGTCATTGGTGTCAGTGGGAGGAATAGTGCCGCATCATTGGTGTCACTGATACTAATGATGGGCATTATTCCTACCACTGACACCAACAATGGGGCACTATTCCTCCCACTGACACCAATGATGGGGCACTATTCCTCCCACTGATACTAATGATGGGGCATTATTCCTCCCACTGACACCAACGATGGGGCACTATTCCTCCCAGTGATACCAATGATGGGGCACTATTCCTCCTACTGACACCAATGATGGGGCACTATTCCCCCACTGACACCAATGATGGGGCACTATTCCTCCCTCTGATACCAATGATGGGGCACTATTCGTCCCATTGATACCAACGATGGGGCACTATTCCTCCCACTGATACCAATGATGGGGCACTATTCCTCCCACTGATACCAACGATGGGGCACTATTCCTCCCACTGATACCAATGATGGGGCACTATTCCTCCCACTGACACCAATGATGGGGCACTATTCCTCCCACTGATACCCTCGGCTTATACTCGAGTCAATAGTTTTTCCCAGTTTTTTGTGGTAAAATTAGGTACCTCGGCTTATATTCAGGTCGGCTTATACTCGAGTATATACGGTATACATTATATTTATGCCAGGATTAATGACTATAGAATAAAAGATTTATAAAATTACGCATTTTATAAAGTTTAAAGAATAAGTTCACCTTTTGGAACATGTTACATGTTCCACCTGTATTTAGGGTGGAATATGTAAAATGTTCCAGCTACTGCAACCTCTCTCCCTGATCCTCGTCTCAGTGTGACAGCTGGCTAGGGATCATCTCCCCACACCCACTGTCCCAATTCAAAAACAGCGCAGCTGTGCAGGACTCTGCCCACATTGCTGTGTTTTTCATTCACAGTTTCCTGTGAATGAATATGCTACAACTACCATCGGCCACCGTGGCTGACGGCTTGTAGATCTGAATGAACTGCGAGGATTCTGATGAGCACTCTCGTAGTCCATTCACAAGCCCTGCAGCTTTCAACAGACAGCCCGTGTGAAGGTATGGGCAGAAGGATGCAGGGCTTGTCTGCAGAAGCCTGACATTGCACCACTGATCTCGGGTGCAATGCTTTCCAGGCTCCTGCAGGAAAAAATAATAAATGAACATTTTTTTTTCTGCAAAAATATGTGCATTTGTTATTTTTTATTAAAAGGTGAACTTATCCTTTAAAAGATTATAATATAAGTTATAGTGGTTGTTTTTTCTATATCAATATTTATAAAGTAAATAAGCAGTATCCTGTCAGCCCCAAATTTCTCTGACATTCCAATGCCTCCTTGTGTGTCTTTATATTTTTTTGTTTATAATGTGTCCTTTCTTGGTGACAGACGTCTCCCAAGTGTCATAATGCTAGATACGTATATTAATTATGCTGTAAGATATGAGTAAAGTCACTATGAAATTGGATTAATTATGTAAAATTAATTAGCTCTGACTGAACTTAAAAATAGCCCATGCATGTCCTACAACATATTGCAGTGAAAAGAGTTAATTTTTTTTATTGGTTCCTGCTCTTGCGTGCACCTCTGTAAATGCTAATTTCAATATTCTTAAAAAAAAATTGAACCATTTATGTCATTTGTCTTAGGTGTCAATCACCAATATTACATGAAAATCAAGAATTTGCTTCCGCAGAAATAATTGGAGAATGTGAAGAGAATTTGGATGACATAAAACATTCTGGTAATGAAGCTTACATAGTTTATTGAATACATTCGTGTAAACAGTGTACATTGCTTTTAGTTATTACGCTCCTGCAGCACGATGCATTTTGAAGATTCTTCTTTAGTTGTGGGAATAGCTTATAAGACATACTAAATATTTGCCCAGGGAATGAGAGGGTTTTTCTAAACAATCTATCTAATGATTATCCAGTAGGGCAAATGGATTTAATGGCAGATTGCAACCTTAAAACTAAAAGTGAGTGTCACTACACAACAGCTGAATTGAAGAGCCAATCCAGTAGAGGAGTGAGGCTTCCGATACCTGAGTGTAGCCAGAGTATTTTCCTTTTGTCCTGATTTCCTGTTTCCTGCCTATGTATTATAAAAATTGCCTATTTGTTGCCCATTCATTTCTCATATATTGTAATCTTTCCCCAGTTGTTACCCATGTTATGCCAAAATTGCCTGTTTTTGCCCTTGTTTTATAACAGTTGGTTCTTGGTTGACCATGTATTACCATGACTATTCATTTTTCCTATATAATATAACGATTGCCTCTTAACAATGTCCTATTTGTTGCCCAATGCTTTTATTGTTTACCTATTTGTTGCCCATCTTTTGCCTAAAACAACATATTTGTTGCCCATCTATTTTCATAATTGCTTGTTTGTCACCCACTTTTTGTATCAAAGTCCTATGTGTTGCCCATCTGTTATAACATTTGCCCCTTTGTTGTCCTTATTGTCAAGACTACTAGTTTGAGGCCTATGTAATATGACGATGGCCTGTTTGTTACTCATATGTTGTAACAATGGCTTGTTTTTTGCCCATGTATGGTAAGTAAAACCTGTTTGTTTCCTATGTATTATAACAATTGTCCATTCATTGCCTATGTATTGCCATAGTTACTTGTTAGTTTCCCATGCATTGTCATGATTACCCAGTGGTTTTTTATGTATTGTAATTGCAGCCCATTTGCTGCCCATATTTTGCCATACTTTCTATTTTGGTGCCCCTGTATATTATAAAAGATGGCTGTTTGTTCCCTACATACCAACTTTTTTTGAGTACTACCTAATTTTAGCCCTGTATTGTTACAACTGCTTGCTTGTTGCCTATGTATAGTCATGATTGACTATTTGTTGCCAATGTATTGAATCCGTTTTAAATTTTTTGTCCATATATTATAAAGTTTGCCTGTTTATTGCCCAAGTATTGCCACAACTACCCATTTGTTTCATACTTACTGAGGCTGATTTAGCAAAGGAGCTGAGAATCACCTACATTAAGGAAAGTTTATCTTGAATAAACAGCTAGTTGTTTTTCACATGGTTTAGCAAAACGCCTTAGTAAATCAGAGTAATTGTTTCAATTGCCTGTAGTAATTGTAATGATAGCCTGTTTATTGTCTGGTTATTATAACAATTATTCATTTACTGTCTATGTATTATTTACTAGTAATTATTATTACTCATTTGTAATGAGTGCATGTTGGTTGCCCATATATTGTAATGATTGCTTGCTTGCTGCCTATGTATTGTCAAGATTACCAGACTGTTGCCCATATTTGTTGCCCACCTGCTGTCCAAATTGCTAGTGTGTTATCCACATATATTCACAGTTAGCTGTGTTACCCCACATATTGCCACTATTGTCATTGTGCTGCCCATGTATTGCTATAATTGTCTGAATGTTTTTGGTATATTTCCACATTTGGTCACTAATAACCACAGTTCAGTGTTATGACAGCATCTGTATGAGCGTGTAGCTTATACCTTTTTATATTTCTCTGAAAGATTTCTAGTGTCCAAGTTCAGCAGCAAATTCTATTTTGTGTGAAGGTAATAGACCTTGTATTTACAATTCACTGTGCTGCAGAAATTCTTACCTTCGGCACCATGTAGTTTTTGTTTGTAATGTTCATCGGAAGACAGAAAACAGAAGTAATTGCTATATCAAACTATATATTCATCATCTAGAAGGAACTATAATATTTACAAATAAACGACTGTCCATGCCATCTGTCACAAAGACCAGCTGTGGTGCCACCTTGCGTTCAGTCAGTTGTCACATTCCGGGGCCTATTTTAATGATACTGGGTAAAATAACAGCTTAACTGTCTTTGCTATTTATCAAGGCTTCTTTATACTTATTTATTTAGAGGTCAAATATTAGAATTTGTAACCTTGGGTGAACAGTTCCAAAGCAGTTTTAAATAAGTAGTCATGTGTAAACTCGACAGATTTTGTAATGTTTTCCTAAAAATAAATGCAGTGTGTTGGTTCACAATTTGTAGAATTTGCACAAAGCTGGAGGAAACATTGCAGGGGTTTGTTCCAGACCTAGAGGAGAAACTGAAAGCGATTCTAAATCTTTTTTTTTTTCTACTAAAATACATGTCATACTTACCAGCTCTGTGCAATGTTTTTTGCACAGAGCAGCCCTGATCCTCCTCTTCTGGGGTCTCACGCCAGTGCTCCTGGTAAGCACTTGCTATGGAGACACTTATGTGGGCTCGATCCCATGATGTGGTGCCTGCATCCATAAACATGGACAGCATAGCTTGGCTCCACCCTGGTCCCTTGTCATAGGATTTGATTGACAGCAGAGTCAATGGCTCCCACTGCTGCCTCTCTGTCCAATGAGGAGAGAGAGAGAGTCGCTGTTCTTGGGGGGTTTTTACCTCAAAGTGGAACTTTAGTCAGAAAACTAAGTTCTACTAGATCACTTTAGGCTGTCCCCTTTTGCAGGTATTGCTGTGTAAAAGATTACAAATAAGTGCCTATACTGTTTAAAATCCAGTAATACACTGTCTTACCCTGCTCTGCACATGCTCAGTTGCTCTCTGTTTTTAGGCACTGTGCCGAATTTGTAGAGGCTGATCTGTTGACAGCCTAAAGATTTAATTCAGGACTCTGGTTTTCAGCAAAATTGTAGTCTCCAGCAAGAAGAAACAGGAACAATGCTGGAGATAATTTACAGCACACCAAATTTTGGTATCATTATTAATGTGGAATGTTTGTTCCATGATAAAAAAAAAAAAAAAAAACCCTTATTTTTTATCATGTTGTTATGGGTAAAGTTCCACTTTAATGCACAGAATGCATTAAGAAAAAATTCCTTAATCCTTTAAAACCACTTTAAATGGTTTGCTAACAATTGGAAGAGCCTTTAAAAAAACCAGAAGTGATTGTAAAAAAATGTGATATTGTTCTAAACAGTTAGCCTGTTCTTCCTTTCATTTCCAGTGATATTCAGTGCAAACAGTCCAAATTCAGTGGATCAGGCAGCTAGAGACAGTATGGAATCTGGAGGTAGAGGTCTGGTGCCAGGTGAAGGAGTTATGCTGAAGAAGGGAAGGAGTGAAAAGGAGAAGAAACAGAGGTGCTACAGTTCAGATTCTTATCCATTGGAGCACAGTAGCCCTATAGGAAGTTTAAGTGGATGCTTAAAGTGATTTTCAACTTTTGCAGTGTAATTTGAGAAAACCCTACTATATGTTTGCTATATGTCCCCATTCAATCAACATATCTAAAAAAAATGTTAGTAAAGAATCTTTCTTACCTTTTAGATGTTTCTGAGGAGAAGGCCTCATGTCAAATTGCAATAATTTTTGAATAATCTCACTTTGTCTGTGTCTCCATACAGACTGGGGACTCACTGACTTAACCCTTCTTTAGGACAGTGTTCAAATCTTATTTACAACTAATAATGATAAGCTGCCAGCACGGTGCAGATAGGGTTAATTATATTAAACATTACTCCACAGCCTCCCCTTAAACATTACAAACAAGGGAGGTAAGTAGCAATTTTTATTTCAGAAAGCATTTTATTGGGATTTACATTTTGAGGAGGTGGAAAGATTAACATCATAGTAGCACAGCAAATTAATGTTAGAATTAAAATGCAGTAAGTTGAGTACAAAAAAAAAGGATTTGTTTGGGAAAATGTTGGAGCAAATTAGGCTGTGCTTTAATAAGGTTTTTTTTGTCACCTTGGATCCTCTATGGCAGTGGTTCTCAACCTTTCTAATGCCGCGACCCCTTAATACAGTTCCTCATGTTGTGGTGACCCCAACCATAAAATTATTTTCGTTGCTACTTCATAACTGTAATTTTGCAGTGGGAGGACTAGTGCCACATCATTGGTGTCAGTGGAAGGAGTAGTGCCCCATCACTGATGTCAGTGGGATGAATAGTGCCCCATCGTTGGGAGGGTGTCAGTGGGAGGAATAGTGCCCCATCGTTGGTGTCAGTGGGAGGAATAGTGCCCCATCGTTGGTGTCAGTGGGAGGAATAGTGCCCCATCGTTGGTGTCAGTGGGAGGAATAGTGCCCCATCGTTGGTGTCAGTGGGAGGAATAGTGCCCCATCGTTGGTGTCAGTGGGAGGAATAGTGTGCCCCATCGTTGGTGTCAGTGGGGGAATAGTGCCCCATCGTTGGTGTCAGTGGTGTCAGGGGGGAATAGTGCCCCCATCGTTGGTGTCAGTGGGGGGAATAGTGCCCCATCATTGGTGTCAGTGGGGGGAATAGTGCCCCATCGTTGGTGTCAGTGGGGGGAATAGTGCCCCATCGTTGTGGTGTCAGTGGGGGGGGAATAGTGCCCCATCGTTGGTGTCAGTGGGGGGGGAATAGTGCCCCATCGTTGGTGTCAGTGGGGGGAATAGTGCCCCATCGTTGGTGTCAGTGGGGGGAATAGTGCCCCATCGTTGGTGTCAGTGGGGGGAATAGTGCCCCATCGTTGGTGTCAGTGGGGGGAATAGTGCCCCATCGTTGGTGTCAGTGGGGGGAATAGTGCCCCATCGTTGGTGTCAGTGGGGGGAATAGTGCCCCATCGTTGGTGTCAGTGGGAGGAATAGAGTGCCCCAACATTGGTGTCAGTGGGGGAATAGTGCCCCAACATTGGTGTCAGTGGGGGGAATAGTGCCCCATCATTGGTGTCAGTGGGGGAATAGTGCCCCATCATTGGTGTCAGTGGGGGGAATAGTGCCCCATCATTGGTGTCAGTGGGGGGGGAATA